GGGCGGTCGTCCCCGTCGCTCCCCGCGCGGCGCGCGTGGGGGGGCGGGCTGGGGGGGGGGGGGGGCGGGGGGGGGGGGGGTCGGGGGGGTGGGGGGGGCGGGGGGGAGACAGAGGTGGGCGGGGACCCCTGAGGGACCGCCCTCCCATGCCAGGCTGGAGGGGCCAGGCCATTCCCAGGGCTCCCTGAGCCTTGCCTCTTCCACGCTCAGGGGGTCCTGGAACCCAAGCCCCCACAGCCGCCCTCTGGGCAGGAGCTGGGAGCTCAGGCCGCGTTCTAGTCCAGCCTCGGCCCTCAGTGAGCCCAGGGCTGTGACCCGCCAGTCACCTCCCTGAGTCTCCATCTCATCTGCGAAGCGGCCCTGCCAGGCTCCTGGGATAGAGGCTGAAGCAGCCCCCCAGCGTGGCCCCAGAGGTGGGCCTGGGGATGGACAGCACCGGCCCAGGCAACCTGAGTGACCCATCTGCTGCCCCTCCACAACTTAAGTCATGGGAAACCAGCCCCAGAGAAGGTGACACCACTGACCTCCAGCCACTCAACACAGGTGGCCCCTCAGCCACCTAGGAAGTACAATGGTCCCATGAGTTAGACACAATTGTCATTTCTCAAATGAGAAGATCATGGTTCAGAAAACTTGAACCAAGTATGCTCCTGCCCCCGGGCCTTTGCACCTGCTTTCACCTCCACCTGGAAGGCTCTCCCCTGGGAAGCCACATGGCTCCCATCCCCACCTCATGCAGGTGTCTCATGAAGCAAGAAGGACTTGCCGGACCTCTCAGCCCACGCTCCAAGCCCTCACTGTCCCCTGCCCCACTCTCAGCACCTGGAACTACCTGACATTCTTTTGATCGTTCTTTCAGCCATTTTTCCCTGTCCCATGGCCCGTCCATCTGCCCCATCGGGTGGGCGCTCAGTGGGTATTCACTGCCTCCCCACCCGGGGGGCCTGGCCGAGGCCGAGGGGCAGTGCTCCTCCTGGCCCACATCTAAGTGGCAGGTGTTGGACCTGAGGGCACAAAAGGCTGTCAGGCCACAGAGGGTGGCTCTGCTGGGGGACCCTCTGCCAGCTCCTGGGGGCAGGACTGGATCCTGATTTTCTCTGCCCTCCCTGACCCCTAGAGGGCCAGCTTCACACACTGCAAAGGCAACAACACACCACCACCCCCGCATCAGACAGCCCCCTTCCCTGTGTCCCCAAGTGTCCCGGCTCCTGTCCAGTCTAACCTCCCCCACAGTCCCCTCCACGAGCCACAGGGAACAGGAGGCCCAGGAATGGGCCGACCACAGCTCTCAGGCCAGGGGTCAACCTGGTGGGCCACGGATAGCCTAAGCCACGTACGGGGCCCAGCCTGAAAGAAGGACACCTCTGCGAGAGTCCTGGGCCTGTTGTCCCAGTTGACAGACCTCAGACACAGCGATCTGCTTCTGAGCCTCAGTATCCCCTTCTGAATAATGAAATAACGTGGGAAACCTACTTCTACAAGATTAGCATCAAGTAGTGACGCCAAGCGATCAGCAACCTTGGGGACAAGCCTATTCACCTAGAATCCTGGCTTCCCTACTGACTCGCTGTGCAACCTCAGGCATGTGACTTAATCTCTCTGTGCCTTGGCTCTTTCTTCATGCCTGGAGATGCTCAAACAAGGGGAAAAACAATTTCCTACCACAATGCAGAGGAATACATGAGGTGGACTGGGGACACCTGGAGCCCCTCCTGGGGCTGTGCCTACTGTGGGCCTGTCACACCCCACTGCCTCCAGATCTGCGTGCGCACGAGAGGAAATGGGCAGAGCCAGGTGACACCAAGACGACGTGGAGACAAGTGCTGAGATGGAGCCTGCGTCCTGCTCTGGCCTAGGCCCCCCCAACCCAGGCAGGCCCCAGACACAAAACACCCCTGGCAGATGTCCCCCACGCCACGGCACCCAGGAGCGGTGCACAGGGAGAGAGGACCCGGAGCAGCAGCCACACAGCAGCCACGCAGCAGCCATGCAGCCTTCTGGTGACAGGACTCAGGGCAGAGCAGAGCCAGGCACAGAGAGGCAAGAAGCGCCAGGCCCCAAGCAGACAGGCGGTGAGGCCGGCGGGGGTGGGTCCACCCATAGAGTTTGCGTAATAGACACGGAAAATCTTTACCGGCCTACCCATCTTGCCCCTCTTGCCAGGAACGCCAGGCAGACCCTGTAGGGGAAAGACAGGGGACAGGTCAGGACAGGACTCCAACAAGACACAGCTGGCCCACAGCAGCCCCAGAGCCACCCATGGGAGGTGACAGAGGGCCTGGAATCCATACTATGTACACAATGTCACCAGTTATGTGGGATGGACAGATGGCCTTTGTACTCTGCAGGGCAGGGGGCTGCTGGGGAGATGCCTAAGAAAGTGCTCCTGGCATACAGCAGGTGCTTACTTGTTGCTCCTTCTCCTGCCTTCCTAAGGCCCTCAGTGTCCAGCTCACGGACAAGTTTACAGCTGAGTTCCCAAATATGGACTCAGGCTGGAAGTGGGCCAGGGAGGAACCCTGAGGGGCTTCTAGGGGACATCAAGGCGGGGCCGGGGGCACCTGAGCACCTCATCCCGACTCCCCTGACTTGGACACCTGGCTGGAAGGACGGGGCATCCTAGGGAATCTCAGGTCCCCGCCTTCCCCAGAGCTGGGCCCGGTCTCTCTGCAGAGCTCAGGGTGCAAGCCAGTCACCCAGTGCCACCTCTGGTGCCGACACCCCCTCCTTCCCCTGCCCCACCCAGCCCCACTGTCTCGCCCAGGTGCAGCCTCCAACATCTGGTCCTTGGACCTCATGCATGGCACAGCTGCCACCAGGTCCTGGGTCTCCAGCTGTCTCATTCGCCCCAGGAAAGGAACTAAGCTGCCTAAGGGGGTGGGATGAACAGGCCATGGGCAGGCCGTGGGCAGAGGAGCAGGGGTGAACCTCTGGCTCTGCGGGCCACCTGGTCTCTGCCACTGGCGGGGAAGGCGGCCAGGGCTGACAGTGGGCAAATGAGCACGGCTGGGCTCAATAAAACTTTATTCACAAAAATGAACCACGGGCCAGAGTCTACCTCTGAGTAGGAAGTGGGCCTGTTTCTCATTTGCTGAAAGCCTGAGAGAGGCTCCCCAGAAGAGTCCCTTTCCTGGCCAGGGCCCCTCCAGGCTCGCAGCCTCCTGCGTGGACCTGGGCCATGGTTCAGGTGAACGGGAGGCCGCTGACTGTGCCAGGCTCCCTGACCTGGAAGCCCCACCGCGCTGCCCGCTCCCAGCCGCCTCCGGGAGGGACCCGGTGACCTTGGGCTCTGCCCAAGGCGTTGGGGGAGCATGGTGAGTCGCCACAGGAGCGCACTTACCCGCTCTCCGTCGGCCCCGGGCAGGCCGAAGAGCCCTGGGAGTCCGATGTAGCCCTAGGAGAGAGCAGGCGGGTCAGGGTGTGGCGGCCGAGGGCGGAGCAGCGTCCAGCCCGGCCCCGCCCCAGAGGCCCCGCCCCGGAGACCACGCCCCCGAGGCCCCGCCCCCCGAGGCCCCGCCCCCTCCTCTCGCTGGCAGCTGGCAGCAGCGCGCTCCGTGGTCCTCGACGACACAGGCCTTGAGGCAAGTGTATATGCCCATGGACTGCATGGTGCCGGCTTCCACGATGTAGTCCAAAGGCACATACCCTCACGCCAGGGAAGGCGGGCGCTGCGGAGCCCGCCCCGCGCCCCAGGACGCCGCCACCTGCTGGAGGAAGCCTGGCCTGGTTAGGTGCTGGGCCCGCCCACACCCAGGGCGCCCCAGGGTGCTCCTGCAGCGCTCCTCCTAGGCCTCCAAGGTCTCCAAGGGAGGCTCACGTCCACCCCAGCCACCTGAGTGACAGCAGGACCATCAGCTGTGCTGACATCCTGCCAGGCACGGCTGCTCCCTGTGGTGCTAAACTGCTCCCTGTGGACTGGCTGTCATCTCCCTCCCTGGACAGACAGGAGGAGACTTAGCTCTGAGGAAATAGCAACTCAGCCAGTCCGTGGTGGAGCAGGGAGTCCCCTGAGCAAACCCTGGTCAGCTCCTAGTCACTAGGTGCAGCTGACTCCAGACCCCAACCCTGGCATCAGGGTGCTGGCTGGTCCTGATTCCCAGCCTCGGGGGCCTCTTTGCCCTCCACAGGACCGCCCTTCCCATCCTCAGGACTGCACGTCTGAAGCAAAGCCTGCCTCGAACGCCCTCTACCTTGGACAGCATCTGGTGCCCTCGCCAGAAGCAGTCTCCTCTCACCCCAGCCCCCCATTTGAGCCCCAGGTAGCAGCATCTACCATGGAGTTCCAGGCATCTATGTTCTCTGTCCTCACCAGCCTGGGAACTCCCTGGGCAGGGTTCTAGCGCACGGTTGGTATCATTGTCTGTACCCTCTAGGTGTTTCTGGAATGACTTAATGATAACTATTAAAAACCCTGACATTCACTGAGCACAAACTATGCACCAGGCCCAGCTCTCAATGCTTTGCATGCATTAAAGCATTTACTGCATCCTCACTACACTCTTAGAAAGTAGGTATTAGTCCGCACACAGGAGAGGTGAGAGCATTCAGGCCCAGAGAGGTGAAGTGACTCCCCAGGGTCACACAGCTGGAATGTGGTAAAACTGGCATCTGAATTCAAGTCATGTGATTCCCAGGTTCCTAAATACTCTGCTACACACCCTTCTATTGAAAGTCCCCAATCACCTCTCCTGCTCTGGACAGCCGCAAGGTCACTGAGTCTCCTTCTCAGCATGTAGCAGGATCACTGTTCATAATCAAGAGTGACATTTACCTACCCTTCCAAGAAGGGCTCATTTCCCAGATTTACAGGTGGGAAAAGGGGCTCAGAGAGGCCCAGTGACTGGCCAGCACCCTGCAGCTGGTGAATGGCAGAGGGTCTCAAGCCCTGACGCCTGTGCCGCTTTGACTGCTTCATAAACATGAGGCCGCGGGGGTTGGAAGGCAGCTTGAGGGGCCGGCCCCCATGGGCACCTCAGGCCCTGGGAGCTGGAGGAGGCAGGAGAGGGGGCCACACTGGTCCTCTCCACACATGTGGCCTCAAGATGTTGCCATTGTAGCAAACATCAGGCAGCCCCAGATGTCATCAGTGTGTCCTCTCCTCGGATGGCAGATGGACACTGGGGGCTGAGAAGACCTTTCCCTCTGGGCTTAGAAGGCCCCGCTGAGGCCGCAGCTCACAAAGGCAGCTAGAGGAAGGCAGGGAGACCCAGCACCCCCGCAGGCACCTCCTCAGGCCCCCTGCATGCCATAGCAAAGTCCTGGGGAGCCCGCCTACCTGCCCACGTGCCCACCTCCTGCCCTGGGGTTGCTCTAGGGCAGAGACCGTGGCCATGTTGACCTCTCCCTCCTGCCAGGGTATATGTGGCTTTGGCTCCCGAGCGAGGGCTGTGTGACCCCCTTCTCAGTGCCCCTTAGGAGCCCCCGTGCTCCACCTTGGGGATGCAGCGTGGGCCCTGGGGCCCACCAGGACCCCACTTTCCTTGTAGGAGAGGAGATGCAACCAGATCATCTCCTGGACTTCCAACTCCACTGACCCCCCTTCACTTCACCCAGAGCCTTCTCTCCCTCCCCACAGCCCACAGGAGAGCCCCTCCTGGCATCTCCATGCCAAGCCACAGCAGGCCTTGGCATGGCTCCCAGGGCAACGACGGGCAAGCCTCAGCGATGGCTACTAAGTTTGCTTCTTTGGAGCTTAAAAGAAGGGGTGATCTGGAAGCTCCAGGGCTTCCAGGCCAGGGCAGCTCCCCCACTGGACACCTCAGGCCTACACAAAGGGAGGTCCCCAGCCCTTGGCTGGGAAGGAGGGAGGGACTGAGGATTCTGCTGGCAGGCACTTCAAAGGGCACTACCTTGGGCTCCCTGGTCACTTAAAAGGAACAGGTGGACACGTCAAGCAAATGCCCACTGGACCTGGCACGTGGCTGAGTCCCAGCAGAGCCTTGGCTGCCTGGACTGCCAGACTGTGGGACCTAGTGGCTCCCTTGGTTCAGGGGTGCCCAGCCCTCCTGCTGACCCATCCTCCAGGGAGTACCCAGGTGGGAGGGCCTCAGCCCCAGCCTCCAGCCCCCAGCCCCCACTTACAGCCTGACCTCCCATCAAGCCCACTGGAGAACAGGGGACGCCACACAGGCCCACCCGTGTGGCACCAGCCAATGCCACTTACCCGGCTGCCTTTGGGGCCAGGATCTCCTACAGGCCCAGGTAACCCCTGAAACACAGAAGACAGAAAGACGGGGATGTGTGGGGACGCCCTGCTGCACCAACGTCCCAGGGCGATCCTGTCTCTGGAGCCTCAGCTGCCCCCCCCCCCAGAAGGCCCTCTCTCCTCCCTCAGTGGGGAGACTGGTGGGAGGAGCCTCTGGAGACCCCCACCTGCACCGGCCTCCTCTTCCTGAGCATCCCATCCCTGCTGCCTACAAAGAGGGGCTGCCGTGGTCCACTCCTGGACAGCCCTTTCCTTCGGCCCCACCCGGAGGAGACAGCTCCTTGGCCCTTAGCCCACAGCCTCCCTGTGCCTGGGGCACCCATGGCCATCGCCACACGGCCACAGAGCTTCCAGAAGCCATATACTGCACCTGCCTGCCAGGGTAACCTTTGGCCCCTGGGCTGCCCTCAGGTCCCGGCGGTCCCTGCAAAGGAACAGAGAGAAACGGACGGTATAGACAGGCCCTGCCCAGCTCAGGGGCTGCTGGTGGTGGGAGACGGGGCTGGGACAGGAGAGGGACAGGAATGTGAGAGGAGCCAGGAGGAAATCTGCTGGGCCCCCAGCCCACCCTTCTGCAAAACCAGTCAGACCAGCTCTTCTGCAGCCGCGGGGTAAGAAAACACCCGAGGCCTGGCCCCCGCTGGCAGGGCTGCTGTTGACTTGGGCCGGGGAGCCCAGATTCCTGCAAACCCCTGGCAGCGTGGATAATGTCCCCTAACATGGCTGGAACAGGCGGCTATTCATGGGTCTAACCAACGTGGAGTGGCTCGTGCCAGCCCCAGGCCACACGGGCTCCTTCAATCAAGGGGTGGGTGGGATGAGGTGGGGGCCCAGCAGGACGGGAGGTGCCGGCCTGGCCTGGGGCAGGTGGGGAGAGAAGCAGCGCTGGGCGGGCCGAGGCCTCACCTGTTCTCCGGGGTGCCCGGCCGGTCCAGGATAGCCCTTGTAGCCCTGTGGGGGGAGAAATCGCATCAGCAGGCTGCAGATGGCCGGGCCACGCCTGTCGCGCAGCGCTGCCCCGGCTGCACCCCAGAGACCACCTCCGAGTCCCTGCAGGTGCTACTGCGCGAAGGTTCGCCCACCCCGAGGGCTTCCTCTGCTCGGTGGCTCTTCAGCCAGCGGAACCAGGGGGATTCTGACCCGGGATGGAGCGACAGTGATGGCCCTGGATTCCAGCCCTGCCTTGGAGATCCAGAGAGGGGCAGAGGCGGGCAGCAGCCGGGGCAGAAGGGTGGTCAGGGGATGGCTGGACGGCCACGAGGCGGGGACCCCCGCTCTGTCAGGACCTGCCCGCCTCCTAAGCCCCATCAGAAGAGCCACACACACGGGCACGCGGGCTCTCTGGGATGGCGCCTCCCTCTGCCCGCCCCGTGCCTGTTCCAGGGAGGAAGGGGACACCCACGGGTCCTGAGGGAGAAGGGTTCTGGAGACACTCTAGGGCCAATCCTGACCCTCTGTCCCCATGGCCCTACCACCGTGATGTCCAGACCAGGGGTCCAGGAGCAGAGAATCAAGAGTGTCTCCTCAGGTGGCAGCAGGCCAGCAGGGCCCATGTCATGAGCATTCGGTGGCCTCCCAGGGAAACCCCGGCCGGCACCTCCTGCCCGCTTAGTGATGTCCGTGAAGACAAGACCGGGCAGGGGGCTTTCCTTTCAGACAGCGCGGCCACACTGCCCTGTTAGATGCCCTCACACAGGGAGCCCTGGGCTTGGTGCAGACACTGTCAATTACTGTGCATCTTTAGGGGGGTTGCTGCCCTTCCCTGGACCTCCAGGGGGTGTGAGTTTGTGGTTTAGAACTCAGGAGCTGGAAAGCGTCCCAGAGTCTAAACCACACACACACACACACACACACACACACGGGACCCCACAAGACCACAGCCCGACGTGCCTGCGGGGCCCTCTGTGCGTTTTCTGGGGACTAGATAGGCAGCGTGTGACCTCATTCAGCCGCCACAGTGGGGTCGGGCAGTTACCATCTCTTTTTCCAAGAAGGGGAAACTGGGTGGCGGGCACGGAGGCCACCTGCCCCTGAGTCCCACTGCTCCTCATGGCAGATCTGGCGACACCTGAGGCCACACTGACAGCCTTGCGGAAGCCCCGGAGGCCTGGCTCTCTCCCTGTACACAAGAACAAGCACCTCCACGCACCCAGGGAGCAAAGGTGGAGTTGAAGGCAGGCCTTGCGCACCCACTCACAGGGCCAGGCTCTCAGCAGGGGCGGCATCTCCCACCCAGGGGCCTGCATTTTTTCCTCAGGAGGCAAACTGGGGTGCAGACCACCACCGGTGACTAGATCAGACCTCTTGTTTCAGGTTGATCCAGATTCCAGTACTGCTCTGCCCACTGACTAGCTGTGTGACCTGCAGCCAATGCCTCCACCTCTGTGAACCTCTTTTTCCTCGATTACAAAATAGGAGGACTAGGGTTAGTGCATGAATTACATGTTATTATGTAAAGCACTTAACACCACATCTGACATTGAATTCCATCGAGGGCCCTGGAACAGTTGGCTGCTGTTTCAACCAGGGTCTTCATTTCTCTCTCTTCTTTTTTAAATGATACTGGGGATGGAAGCAGGCGAACCACATCCCCAGCCCTTTTATTTTTTTGAGACAGGGTCTTGATAAGTTGCCCAGGCTGGCCTCCAACTTGTGATCCTCCTGCCTCAGACTCCCAAGTAGCTGGGATCTCAGGCGAGCGCCCGGCACCTGGCCTCCTCATCTTTCATTTATTCATGTAAAACCCACTGCTGAGCTCGCCCGTGCCAGCACTCCTTGAAGCACAGGAAGAAAGAGACAGGAAACATCCTTCGCCTGAATGGAGTTTACATTCTGATTAAGGAACTATAAAAACAAAATGAGTATAAAGGGTAATGGTGGGCGGGGGGGCAGGGGGCAGGCCTTGGGTAAGAGGCAGACAGATCCAGTTCTGCAAGATGGAAAGTCCTGCAGCTCTGTGGCCACCACGGGAAAGCACTTACCGCTACCAAAGGGTGTCCTAGGCGTGACGAAGGTGGCCAGTTGTGTGCCAGGCTTTTTTTTTTTTTTTTTCAACCACACACAAAAAAAGCTAAATTTGAAAAATGAGAAATGATGTCCGGTAGTAACCAGAGCCATGAGAAAGAAAAAGCAAAGTCATGGGACAAATAATGGCAGGGTTGGGCAGGGGTGGTGACGTGGGCGGTGGTCAGGGAAGGACGCCCTGAGGAGACCACTGAGGTGAGAGAGGTGGGCCCAGGGCTGGCTCCCGGGAAAAGCATCCAGGCAGAGGGAACAGCATGGGCAAGGTCCCTGTGGCAAGAATGCTCTCGTGGTTCACGGTAGCTTGAAGGCCCTCCGACTGGAGCAGAATGAGCGAGGTGGTCGGAGAAGAAGCAGGAGATCAGACACGAGCGTGATAGGATGGCAAGCCCCAGGAGGGCCTTCTCCCAGTGAAGCAGTGAACCGAGCCTGGCGCCCTTGGCTGTGTGATTCAGCATAGGCAGTCACCCTCTCTGAATCTCATTCTACCATCCTCTGCCTGCTTGGAGAGTAGCTGCAAAGAGCTTGTGGGCTAATGGGGGCCAGGACCCCAAGAGAACCAGAAAAGGGTCCTCCAAGAGCCCCTAGCCGTCACCAGCTTTGGGGGCTTCTTTCATATCCATAAAGAAACCTGCTGAAAACCAGTTCTTTGGTACCTCCCTCCCCCAAAGGAAGCAATAAAAGTGTCTCCAGGGAAATCTCAGGACATTTAAAGTAACCTCTTTGCTCAGGATGCAACTACAGGACAGGGACAGCCCCAAGCCTGGCTCAGCAGGAAAGCCTGAAATACACCAGCTCAGCTCCTCTAGGATGTAGGAATTCCTGGGTAAGGAAAGTGAGGCTCAGAGAGATACAGACACTGTCTTGCAGCCACACAGCTTTCCAGGATCATAACTCCGACCCTGTATCCTTAACCACCTCATCTTTGAGGCCTGAGGCCGGCCTGGAAGAGCCACAGGGGCCACCAAAAGGCAAGGTCCTCCTGAAGTCAAACCTTCCTGGGGCAGAGGTCAGTCCCAGAACCCTGGAGCGTCTGGGTGGGAAGGGACCTAAGCCATCCTGTGACAACCTCCTTCCTCACTGGACAGACTGCGAAATGCAGGCTCGGAGTGGGGAGGGGATTGCCCCAGGTGACCTAGGAAGCTATGACCCATCCTAGATGGTTCCCCGGGACCCTGGACCCCTGGGCTGGGTTTTGTCCAGAAGACGGCCATTCCTAGGTCTGTCCCCATCAGCGGGCCCCAAAAGGCCGGGAAGCTCCTCTTCTCCTGGCTGGCAGGACAGGGACAGAGCACAGTCCCGGGAGCAGGGGGAGGTGCCGAGGCGCCCGCTCTCTGCTCGCTCCTCCAGTGTTTACGGGGCTGGGCCAACAAACAGCTTCAAATGACAGGGCCCAGGAGCGGCAGAGATCTAAGCCATTATCTTCTCCAAGGCCCCAGCAATTTTGTGGTAGGCACTGACCGCAAGGTGGACCATGGGCAGTGATTTTGCAGTTTGTGATGGGTGCCCGGCGGGTACGAGGGGGCAGGGAATGCTTCAGGGGAGCTCCGGGGACCACAGCATCTGAAGGGGCTGCTGGCCGCCGGGCAGGCGGGTTCCCGCAGGACCTGTGTTTATAATGGAGCTCGGGCTATATTTTGATTTGAGAGCCAAATTAATCATTGCTTACAATGCACGAGGAGAAAGCAGACATCACCTCACCGTCGCCCCAGACAGTTTTCCCATCCGGCGGGGATGCTATTTGGGCTCTGGGAAGGAAGGCAGGGGGGTCCTGTCCTTGCCTGGGGGTCCAGGCGCTAACGCCTTCTGAGACCTGAGGTTCCCCAGCTCCACCTCAGGCCGGGCAAGGCCCCAGCTGCCCTTGTAGTAAGATTGACCTCGACCCCTGCCCAGAACCGTGGGAGACTTCCCACCAAGATGGCTAAGCAACCTGGAGCCCACCCCAGCCCCTCCAGCCGACAGCAGGACAGAGGGTCCAAGAGGAAGAAGCACCCTCCAGGTGGCAGAGGGACTTACAGTGAGATGCTGCTCCAGACCCTGCACCTGTTCAAGTGCTGCTGACTCCGAAGTTACGGGATTCTGAAGCCCATGGCTGGTTTGACACCAACCTCTGTTTGGTGGCACTTGAGGCAGGACAGGGCAGGAAGCGCCATTTCTGTACGTCTCATTTATTGGTCCAGTTAACACTCATTTACCAGACGTTTGCTGAGCCCCAACAATGACCACGACCCTGGGGTAGGTCAGAAATATACTGAACAAAGCAAATTCACTCTTGCCTTCCAGAAGGGGGGGTGGGCATTAGACACAGAATAAATGGGGCGAAGGAGAAGCAGCCAGGCCAGGAGACGCAACTGCCCCCAGCCAGGGGAGACGGCACTGCGCACTGCAGCTGGAAGGAGCAGCAGGGTTGGGTGGGAGAGACGGTGGGGGAGGGGGGAGAGCCGCTCAGCAGCCGGGAAGCCCAGAAGAGGTTCCCTGCAAGGGCTCCATGGAACTGGGAGTGCCACTCAGCAATACTGACAGGTCTGCAGAAAGCAGGGTCCCCTCAGGCAGCCTCGGCCACATTCCCCCCAAAACATTCCCGGGGAGCCCCTTTGCTCAACCCCCCTCATTGTATCTCAGCTTTGCATGGACAGTAGCCAACTTAGGAGGGCTGGTGAGCTCCAGGGGCACCATGGGGAGCCAGGCTGGAAAGACAGCAAGGACATTTCAACCTGAAGACCCATTAGCCACGTGTCACTGGTCCCATCTACCTGGGGCCATGGGTTAAGAAAGAGTCTGAGGTTGGGTCAGAGCCCGTCAAGGAGGACCACTTGGTGAGCTCGGCGCGGGCACGGGGAGGGAGGGGGCAGGAACACGGGCCTGCACTGTGCTCAGCCCAACCGGGACACAAAGGTGCACAGGGGTGTTCTTGCCCCAGTTGAGAAATGTGCTGAGGACACCAGAGAGTTGTCAGCAGGCAGAGTCCCAAAGAGGTTCATGCAGTCTGGAGGGTCAGAGGGGCCGTTCCTACAGTCTGGGGGTGCTGAGGAGCTGCTCTTGGGGAAGCTGGCACTGGACAGAAGTAAGGGACAGATAGGGAAGAGAGGGTTGGAGACAGGCATGCCAGGGGCAGCAGGCAGAGCAGGGCCGGGAGGCAGGAAGGTCCAGGACCCGGGACGAGGGGCAGCGGTGGGAAGCGAGCGTCCCGCCCAGTAGGGCTTCTTAGCCTTGCCATCTCTGGCTGCACGTGCCCTCCTGGGTACCAGCTGTCTAAGCAGTTTCTCTTGCTTTTACCTATTAGAAGCTAGTAGCACCCCCACCCCTTCCAGGAAGCACTGAGCTGAGCCTGGTGCCCTAGGCTGTGTGACTTGGCACGGGCAGTCACCCTCTCTGAATCGCATCCTACCATCCTTCTGCCCCCACCTCCACTAACTGTTCCTGGGGGGCAGAATCACCACCAGTCAAGATCCACTGGTCTCCAGGAAAGAGGGCAACAGGGTTAGATCAGAGACCCCTGGGAGGTGGAAACGGGGTTCCCAGAGCCCTCTGGCTGGGGCTGGGTGGTTAAGTGCTAACTGGAAAGATGACCAAGGGTACCAGACGGGCAATCGTCAGCCTCCTTCCTTCATCACAGACACGGATGAACTGCCCACCCGTGTCAGCCAAGTGCCGGGCTCTGGGGACATAACATCTCATCTAACCCTCCCATCCCACAGGACGACTGAGGCTCAGCGAGGGAGGCCACTTTCCTACATCCACAGCCACAGAGGGACAGAGCTGGGATTCCACCCCAGCCCAGCTGGACCCCATCTTGATGGAGGCACCATTTCCATCAAACTTGTGCTGTGAGAAAGGGCCTGGGGGTCAGAGCAGACCTGGGTTCAATTCCCTCCCGGTGCCCAGTGACCCTGGGGAAGGCATTTCCCGGAGCCTGGTGGCCTCAACCCAGGCTGCGCGTGAGACTTGCCCGAGGGTTTTGAGAGTGGCCCAGGCCTGGCTGCCGCCCACAGACCACAATCCAGGCCTAAGGTGCCCAGGATGGGGAGCTGCCCCTGTACAGGGCACCCCCCGCCCCCCGGGGCCCTGGGACGGCCTCGCTTGTCACCAGTCTCTGCTCAGAGCCTAGAACACAGGGACATATTTACCGACTGATGGGAAGAATGAGCGAGCGGGTGAGTGAACGAGACCTTTCTGGACCTCAGTCTTCTCAGCTGAAAATGGGCAGAATCCTGCCTAACCCTGGGGCTGTGGTGGAGGAACACTGAGAGGCCCTTCACCCTCTCTGCAGCCCCCAAGGCCACCCACTTACCAGGGGACCCCCGACCCACGCTGCCTCCTCCTGCCACTTCCTCCACGGCCCTTCCCGTCTCCTGGGGCACCTTGTATTTTCGCTCTTTTCCCTTTTTTGATGCGAGCTCCCGGAGGCAGGGGGTTAGGTCTGTTCGTTTGGCTCAGTGCCCCGTTAGGAGTCAGTACGTTCTCATCAAATGAATAAATAAACGAGCGAATGGGATTATGGTGTCAGCTTGGAGTGACACCAAAATTCAATGCCCTCCACTGCAAAACAGTGCAGCCACTCTGGAAAGCAGGATGGAGAGTCCTTAGAAAACGTGGAATGGAACCACCATTTGACCCAGCTGTCCCACTCCTCAGTCTACACCCAAAGGACTTAACATCAGCATAATATAGGGACACAGCCATGTCAACCTTTATAGCAGCTCAATTCACAGTAGCTAATCTGTGGAACCAACCTAGATGCCCTTCAATAGATAAATGGATAAAGAAAACATGGCATATATACACAATGAAATATCACTCAGCATTAAAAAAGAATAAAATTATGGCATTTGCAGGTAAATGGAGGGAGTTGGAGAATATCATGCTGAGTGAAGTTAGCCAGTCCCAAAAAACCGAGGGTCAAATGTTCTCTCTGATATGTGGATGCTGATCCTTAATGGGGGTGGGCAAGGGAAGAAGGGAGGAACTTTGGATTGGCTAATGGGAGGGGGGAGGCGAGGGGGCATAGGGGCAGGAAAGATGGTGGAATGAGACCGACATCATTACCCCAGGTCCACGTATGACTGCACCAATGGTGCGACTCTGCATCGTGTACAACCAGAGAAATGAAAAGCCGTGCTCCATTTGTGCACAATGAAAAGAAATGCATTCTGCTGTCGTGGATAACTAATTAGAAAAAATGAAAATGTTTAAAAAAACCTCAGTGCTCTGGAGATCATGGGATGCTGACCTCACTCTGCCTCGTGTCCCCTGCTCCCCAGGGCTCCCACAGAGATGACAAGAAAAGCCAGGGTATGGCAGAGTGGCCACAGCGGTCACTGGACGCGTGTGGGGAAGAGACTGCTGCGGCCCTCCTGCTGGACTCCGCCACTGGTCAGGCTCTGCTTGTTCCCTCTGTGGGTGGGTGACACCAGCCTGTCACAGGACCAAACTCCTGTGTGTTTGCCTGGGCCAGGGCCAGAGGGGAACTCAGAGACAGTGGCTTTGCCAAGTGGTTTGCAGCCACACGAGGCTCTCCCTCACCTTACAAGGGGTGCCTCTCCCTGCTCAGGAGTGGGGTCCTCTGGGCTGGGGCTCATGGACTCTGCGGACACGTGCTGAGAGCAGGGAGCCCCGGGTCCCCTGGAGGAGCTGGCCCGAGTCTGTTCTTCCCATCTCCGGCCACCTTGGCCAGACGTCCACCCCATGCAGAGCGAGCCCACCGCAGGCTGCTTTATGAGCCGGGATGGGAAGGAGCCTTTTCCACTCACACCTCATCCATCAGAAAGTGCCGGAGCCAGAGGGAAGCAAGTGGGGAGCAAGAGCACCCCAGTGTTCCCTGAGCCAGGAAAGGCAACGCCTCCCAGCATGCAGACTGCCACGGCCCTCTGTCCAGTGCTGGCCTGAGATGTGAGGCACAGCCTGCTGTGGCCGTGGAAAGTGGAGGGGAAGGGGAGGGGGCTGCAATCCCCCAAGACCTCTTGTGCCATGGGGACCCTCACAGCAAGGACAGGTTGGAGCTAGAGTCGCAACAGCTGCCCAGATGAGGACCAGAAGGCCCAGGGATAGGGTAGCTGCAGCCAAAGCCGGGAGCCAGGGCAAAAGCTCAAGATATGGCCAAGGCCCCTGTGTCTTCTCGTCAACTCGTCAATAATGGGGGGTTTTCCTGCCCAAGGTCACCCAGCCAGGAACTGGCCCAGGGAGAGGAGACCACAGAGCCCACCCCCAAGCTCTCTGCTCCTGGCCTTGCTCCTAGGACCCAGATCCCCAGGCCTGGGGGCTCAAGAGGGAAACCACTGTCCCTGCCTCTATTTCTAGTAAAACAAGGGACGCACGGGCCCAGGCCACTCGGCCAGTGGACACTGGACGCATGTGGAGCCCACACATGTCCCCAGCTCCCTCAAGCATCCTCCAGGGTGGCCTTCCTGGGAGTGGCCAAACCCCAAGGAGGAAGCACAGAAAACCAGGGACAGTTCTTGTCACACCTCATTGACCATGGTGGAATGACCCAGCCCACACAAGGGCCCCGTCCTCCCAGCGACAAGACCCTCAGAAATCTCGCTCATTTCCCCCGCAGTGTGCCCTGTGTCCCAGGGAGCTGGGCGGGATCCAGGGAGAGCAGGAGACCCACAGCGAGCTGCGTGCAGCCCCAGCTCACCAGCAAGCCCAGTGCCAAGGCGTACCTTTCGTCCCAGAGGTCCTGGATTGCCGGAGAATCCAGGCAAGCCCATGTCGCCCTGCAAGACACAGACAAGGGGGTGAGGTGGGGTGGGAGTGCGACACTCTGCACTTGAGTGTGACCTCCAAGGCTGGTTGTCTCCAGCTGTGGAGGTTCCTGGGGGCCTCAGAGGAGACCCAGGGCCACCGAGCAGGGTGAGCGCAGAAGAACCGAGTTCCCAGCTCCCCCTCGACTCATCAGCTCCACGAATCCTTATAAGAACTGGGCCTCGACAGAAAATACCCTCTGGGGAGTGGGTTCGACCCTAGAACCTGGTTGAAAACCACACCCTGCATCAGTGAGCTCCCAGTCCTGCTCCAGAGACGTCTACCCGGGTTGGGGCGTGATGGCTGCCAAGCAGGGGGCATTTCTACTACCACCGTGAGACCTGAGAGCGGCCACACAGGGGCAGGAGAGAAGCCCAGGCCCCTGGGTACCAATCCCATTCTGCCATTTACCAGCTGCGTGGTCCCAGCCTCTGTTTTCTCATCTGCAATCTGGGCCCACCTGTCCTGGACCCCAGAAGAGGCCTTGGCAGTGAGGACGTGCAGCGCTGAGCTGTATCAGTCCCGAGCTGAAGCACAGCGGGGGCCCTGGATGTCAGGTGGCCCTTGGGCAGGCCCGAGCAGAATGAGGCTCGGAGGGCCTCAGCCAGAGCTCGGGGCTCCCTCTCCCCACCCATCCTGTGCTCTCTGCCTGCAGAACCCCTGGAAGATGGCGTCCTCTGCTCACAGCGCTGCTCCCCTGAAAGTAAACTTGGCAACGTGGGAGCTCCGGGGGCTTAGCCAGGCCCCTCCACCCCCAGAAACCACAGGCCCGACCGCTCGTGTGAACAGCCTCAGGGGCTTGGAATGTGTGCTAGGAGCTTCCTGGGCCTGGGCTGCCAGGAAAGTTCTAGATGCCAGGATCACCTGGCAGGTCCTGCAGAGAGCCCCACACGTGTGTCTTTTCTGTTTTTCAGGGTGAGCCCTAGCAGCAGGCACGGGAGTGGCTATGGGCCCAGGATTGGGAAAAACTGGGCTTCAAGGGGACTCCAAACCACACCCATGTTCCTAGACCCTGCCACCCCCTGGCCTTCGTCAAGAATGGTCTCTGCCAGGACAGTCCCCTCTGGGGACAGTGATTTCACTACGGTCCACCCCTCTTCCCTTAGCACTGGGGTCCCTGGGACCTACCTTTGCCCCATCGAGGGCCTTTCCTGGTGAGAGCCCTGGGTCCCCTTTCTGTCCCTGAAACAGAAACAATTCTACTTTGGCCACCAAGTCATTTGGAGAGAATGTCTCCCAAAGACTCTTCGATGGCTTCAACGGGTCCCCATCCATCTCCCCACTCACACCCCAAAGGGCCTCCTGCATTCCACTACTCCCCTGCCCCCGCGCCTTCATCACTCCCACTGGCTGCACGTGCAAAGTCCCAACTCCTCCTCCCGGCCTCCGGATTTTTCATAACCTGGTCTGATCCTTGCTCTCCTAATACCACCAGGCCCACAGGGAGGGTCCCTGGTCTATTCCCAGGACACAGTCTCCAGCTCCGTCCTGCCAGCTGCCAGGCCCAGGCTGTCACCCTCATAGGAAACCAGTCCCATCGACAGTCATGTTCCTCAGCACACGCTGCAGTGTGCCCTCCCCACCACAGAGCTCGGGGCCACATACAGGTGACCGGTCTGTCGTGCATGTGGCTGGGACAGTTTCCTGCCCAGCCCCTGAGGCTCCTGGGGCTTCTGAGAGTCGTGGCCAAGAGGCATGTAGGTTCTTCTCAATTTCCCAGCCACTGAGTTACATCTGCACAGGTGGCTCCCTAGGTGGGCACCTCGGCCTGACGAAGCAGGCAACTGAAGAGTCACCACCCTGGGACACATCTGAGGAGGAAGAGCCACCTGAAGCCCGGGGATGAGGCAGGACTGAGACTCAACCCTGCACCTGGGACCCCAGACCTGTGTTCTGGGAGGTCCTGGACCCCATGAGTTGGAGTAGGCCATGAGCTGGGGGGAAACGGACAAGCAGTGGGTCCCCGTCAGAGGCAGGCACTCTGTGCCTAGTGTGCAGTCCTCCTAAGGACCCTGGCCCCAGGGAGGCTGGGGCCCAGGGCGAGGGCCCAAGTTCAGCTGCGTCACTCAAGGTGCCCCCAAAAGCGCTCCTGCCTGCAGCTCCTCGTTGGTCAAGCCTGATTAAACGACTCAGGAAGCTGCCCTTGGAAAGTTGACTCACCCTATGCCACTTCTAGGAGCTCCCAATCCCTGTCCCCTTACCCCTCATCCCCTCATTCCAAGCTTCTCTTTGCCTCGGCTGGTCCCAGAGTCCCAAGTCCTGGGACGAAGGCCTGGACCTGCCATGGACTCACGGTGGAACCCTGGGCAAAGCTCCTCACCTCTCTCAGCCTCAGTTTCCTCGTCTTTTGAATGGGGGCTAGGCGCCTCCCACACACACCCATACACTTCCCGGGTCCCTAGGAAGACACCCGGGTGGCAAGGGCCACCACCCAGGGGAAGGCAGCTGGGCCAACTCTACTTAATTCCCATTGGATTCTTTACTTCGTCAGAACTCAGACCTTCCAAATCCAGACTGTGTCACCCTCCCAGGAAATTGTCACTTTCTGAACTGCAAAGAGCCTCCCAGAGCGACGGGAACAGCCTTCCGCTGCTCACCGACTGTGTGCAGACAGTGCTAGGCACGCAGTCTGCATCCACCGCCTGTTCGGGGGGTCTGGAGAAGCGAGTCAGCCACGGCTGAGCCGGCAGGTCGGAGGGACGGCCAGTGACAGGGCTGGATATTTCTCCACACACCGCCCTGCCCTCCACAGCTCCAGCCCTCAATCGCTCCGGGCTGACGACCAGCCTGCTGGCTAGGCCCCAGAACTCGGTCTACCTGGGCCCACCAGGTCGACTCTGCAGAACCCGTCAGGATCTACCTGCCCTGCAGCCGCTCACAAAGGCCCCCTCAGTAGCTCAGGAGCCCGGCCACATGCCTTTTATGTCCACCCTGCGAGGCCAGGCCCAGGGCTCGCAGGATTCCCATGGCCAAAAAAGGACTGCACTTTCTCCCTCACCCTGCCCGGCCCACCTCAGCCTGCAGCTGGGAGGGAAGCTGGGGTAGACAGTTCACAGGGGGCTCTTCATGTATCCTACTCTGTCATTTTACCAAGAGGGGACACTGAGACCCAAAGAGATGATAGACTTGCTCCCTGGCCCTGGGTCCTTGGTTCTTCAGGGTTTCCCCCTGCGTTCTCTGCAGCTGGTACAGAACTTGAGGTGTGATCCCAGCCCGGGCATCAACGAGAACAGATATTTATGGAACATCGACTGCAAGCCAAGCCTGGGGGTTTACCCAGGGACTGCCGTGACACAGAACAAACAAGCTCGTGCCCATGGAGACTCTCCAGGGAGAAAGCAGACAGACCAGTAATGACAGGAGCACTGGCATTTGTTGAGCTGTCTTCTAAGCCCTGCCGTGTATTAACTCATTCAGTTCTCGCAGCTCAGAGGCAGGAACTGTCACTACCCCCCTAGTACAGAAGGGGAAACTAAGGCAGAGCAAGGCCCATCATTTGTCTGAGGCCAGACGATGAATATGTGGGCTCTCGATGCAGGAGGCTGGTTCCAGAGCCCAGCTCTTTACACTTCAGCACGTTGTGGTGAAAAGCCACAACCATCCATCGGGCAGACAGGAGGCTGGGACAGCTGGCCCCTGGTGTGGTGAGTTCCTGCAGGGACTCACGGCTCAGCTGAGGCTGGAGAAGACAAAGAAGAGCCAGCCAGGCGAAGGGATGCTCAGGGATGCTCAAGGTACCTCCGGTCAAGGGAAGGGTGGCTTCTAGGACAGAGAAAACTACACGCCTTCCCAGCCAGCCTCCTACAAATGCCTCAGTGATTGATTGAAGCATATATAAAGTCTAATGAGTCATTTACACCTTGGTGAGGATGACAATCTGGTCACCAGATGCATCTCTGCAGCCAGCAAGTCCATGAGACCTCTACCAAGTCACTTTCCCTCTCTGCATGGGGAATGGTGGACTTCTTCACAGAGTTTATGGGACCAGAAGGCCATGGGAACTGTGCCAAGCTCCTTTCCTGCAAGTATAGTGGGGAGATGAAAGAATAGAAGTCTCCAGGTGGCCGTGGCCCAGAGAGGGGCCGAGACAAAGGAGGAATAAATAACAAAAGATTGGAAATTCTGGGATTGAAGCCTCCTGTATAAGTCATCTATGATCTCAAGTACCTGGCACAGGACCTGGCTCAGAAGAAGCACCCTAAAATTGTTCATGAACAAGCAAATGAGCAAATGGGAGTCTCGGGAGATGGCAGTAGGGATGGGATTGAGTCAAATCTGATCCAATCCTAGAACTTCCTCTGTAGAGTCCCACTATTTCTACTAGTATTTCATGAGTTTAGGAATTCTGGCCAATGCAATAAGGCATGAAAAACAAATAAGATGGGCTGGGGCTGGGGCTGGGGCTCGGGCTCAGCAGTAGCACACTTTCCTGGCATGTGTGAGGCACTGGGTTTGATTCTCAGCACAGCAAATAAATAAATAAATGTCTATCAACGACTTAAAAAAATTTAAAAAGGAAAGAAAATAAAAAATTAAGATCTACCATTCTTTAAGGGGAAGGAGAAAAAAGGTATGTCCTTTACAAACTACATTAAGTGCCTGTCCAGAATATTCAGGAGGCCTGACTGAAATGCCAGTAGAACTTATAAGATAATTCAGTGAAGGGGATGGTCATAGATTAAACACAAAAAGTACAAACACAAAAATCAGGATTTATCTTCAATAGCTGAGAACCAGCTAGAAAATATAATGGGGAAGAATAGTCCAATAATAACAGCAGAAGAAACATAAAGTTTCTAAGTATAAACTTAAAAAGAAATGTGCAGAGATTATGCAATAAAAACCATAAAAGTTTACTAAGAGATGTTTAACAAAGTGAACCAAATGGAAGGACAAGCCATGTGTGTAGATAGAAAAAGCTAACATTTTAAAGATGTTAATTCATAAATTAATACATTTATAAATTTAATATAATTCCAATAAAAATCCCAAGAGGGATTTTTTTAAAGGAAATTAAGATGGCCATAAAGTTCATATGGCAGAATTATTTTAAAAGAAGTTAAGGCAGACATACAGTACAAAGATAGTAAATGTCAAATAAAATATTATTTTGTTAACATACAAATATACAAGCAGAGCAATGGAACATAATAGAGTGACCGGAAGTAGATACTTGTCTATCACATAAAAATCAGAAGAGCAAAGGTTGATTACTAAAGGGTTAACTATTACAGGAAAACAATGTTAGAGCCCTGCCTCATACCCCCCACTGAGATTAATTCCAGATGGTTTGAAATTTTTAATATAAATGATATTGTGAAATAACTAGGAATAAAAGTGAATACTTATCTGATCTTCAGATGAAAAAGAAATTTCCAAGCATAAAAACAAAGTAGGGTTGGGGGTGTAGCTCAGAGACAGAGCACACGCTTAGCATGTACAGGGGTTCCATCCCCAGCACCAAAAGCAAAAAAAGTAAAGAATTTTAAACTTTACCTATTGGTAGGTCCCTCTGCAAATCAGCTGACATATGATAAGTTCCTAATAAGTGTTAGCTATTATTGTTAGTTCAAAAAAAAAAAAGGGATAATACTTCCATTTGTGAAAATCATCATGAATACTCTTCAAAGGGAAACAACAAATTTTTGTAGAGTAGGTGAAAATTTAATAACCTATGGATGAATTTTACAAGTTGATAACAAATGACAACATCCCAATTCTCCAAATATGCCAATGCATAAATGGTAAAATACAAATGAAAATAGACATAAGAAACACATTCACCATAGATGATCAGTGAAATGGAAATAATACTGAATTATCTTCTTTTAATGTTAGCAGCAGCATGAATTGGTTCAGCCTTTCTAGAAGGTAGCTGCTAATGAACTAACTGTTGCATGTTTGTATAGACATTAGGTGGAAGGCATGTTATAAGTCATTCACATGTGTGTGTTTGTGTGTATATATGTCTTAATGTATATAAAGATACCCCCATCCCTCCCCATGGCTGAATCCTCAGAACCATGTTATAAGGTATGAACTATTATTATCCCCATTTTACAGATGAGGAAACCGAGGGCCTACATGTTTAAGTACCTTGCCCAGAGTCATCCACCCAGCAAGGGATGGAGCCAGGATTCAAACTCAGACACTCTGGCTCTTGGGACCACGCTAGCAATGTTATTATTATGAATTTATCCTGATGAAATAATCAGAGAGTCCACATTCATATATAATAATGTTCTTCAAGATGTTACTTATTTAAAAAAAAAGTTACTTGTATATTAATAAAAAGAATTTATAAAAAAGGAGATCAGTTAAAGACAACAAGGGATATTGATGTTGGCCAGGCCACAAGCCATCAAAGCACATGTGGGAGAAGCCAATTTAATAAGCGGGAAGGCTCCTGGTGAATGTCAAGTGGGGAAGGCCAGGCCCAGCCGGGCGCAGCGGGTTCACGGTCACTTGGAGGAGCCAGGAGAGCCCAGCAGCCGGAGGCTGAGTTGCCTTGTGACTCATGTCCTAGAGCCAGCAGCAGATGCTGGGTTGCTGGCTTTGTCACCTACTAAAAATGTAACCCTGGGCAAGTTACCTAGACACTTGGAACCTTAGTTTCCTCACCCATAAAATGGGGCGATAACATCTGCCCTACAAAGTGTGTGACATTCTCCAGCAGCGCCTGGCCAAAGCTGCTCAAGATGTCCCCGGTGCTTCTCATGGGCAGGGCCACAGGGGAAGGGTTACTTTCCTCTCCATTCCTTCCAGACTCTTCCACACGGGCCTTAATGGCATGACCTAACTCGGTCATCAGAGGAAGGAGAGAGGCCCCAAGGCCTGAGAAGGCGTAAAGCTGCCTCCACCCACTCCCACCAGCTCAGCCAGTGGCCACCTGGTCACCACGTCCTGCCCCCTGCCACTTTAACTTCCCTGGTGCCCTGAGCCCAGAGTAATTCTGGCCAATTCAGGGCAGAACACTGAGCCAGACCAGGGACAGGGCAGCAGCTGCCAGAGAGCCAAAGCACAACTGCCCCTCCCCACTGGAGCCCCGCCCACTCCACCCTTGCACAAGGACCCTTGTGAGTCCCCCTAGACTGCGGTCCAGCATCAGCACCCCACCAGGGTAGCGCAGGCCAAGCTGTGCTTCCTGGACAGCCTGCACGCCCTCTCACACCTCCCCAGATCACGTCTCTCTGCCAAATCCTTCCCATAGCTTCCTGCTGCTCCTGGGATAAAGTCCAACAACCTACCAGGCCAGCAGCCCTCCCTGGCCTGTCCTTTTCCCTGGTCACCCACTGCCCTTGAGAGCGTGGTTCAACCTTCCCGTTCTCCGGGAGGAGGCCCTCACCTCCTAGGTCAGATCATTCCCGGGGCAGCCTGGGCCTCTCCAGGAGCCCCAGCCCCTAACCACGGGGTCTTCTCCATTCAGTGATGTGATTGGCTTGTTCTCCTTCCTGTTTGCCTCTGCGGTCCACTAAGGCAGGGACCAGGCCTGTCTGCGTCCTTGAAGAACCAGGCACAGGCCAACGGCTGACCCCTGGGCCAGCCCTGCTGTGCCACTCCTCAGGACAACCCGACACGGCAGCTGCTCTCGCCACTCTACCTTTCCGATGAGGACACGAGGCAAGGGAAATTCACACGATTCACCCAGTCATAGAACTCGGAGGTGACAGAGCTGGGATCTGAACTTGGCCCATGGGTCTCCAGGGTCTGTGCTCTTAACCACTGTTCTTTCCTGAAGGGACAGCTCTGTGCCAATGGAAGAAGTGCATCCACCCAGGGACTCACCCTGAGCCCCTGGGGTCAGCCACCACGGCCATCCCAGGGGCCAGTGTCTCTACTTCACACTTGGGGTCCCTGAACTCAGCTCCGGGAAGAAGCTGGTGAGCCCTCCCGTCCCTGGACAGGAACAGGGCAGGTGTGGGTTTGTGGCACCCGGGCACAGCCTGGGCTCTGCAGGGGGCAGATGCGGTGGGAGCCCAGCCTGATGGGTTTAGCTGTGGAGCCCAACACAGCTCCTTCCCAGGCAAACCCCCAGCGGGGCCGACTCAGCCCTCAGCCACTGCCAAGACAGTGACCCCAGAGGGAACCTCAGCCTTTGACCCTTCATTCCTCCCAACCTCTAGAGCACAAGATCCCCTACCTTTCCTCAACCTACCTACCTCTCCCCGCTTGAGGCTGGCAGGGCACCTTCAGCCCACAAGGGGATTGGTCTTAAAGGCAGAGACCTTGCTAAAAGTGACTGCACCGTGGCCAAGTCAGATGAAGGGCCGCTCTGGTGGCAGCCCTGCCTGATTGGTTGATTTCTGTGTCCACAGCACCTAGTAGGTGTTCAATGAAGGATAGATGGAAGGGTGGTCCAGAGGCAGCTGTGGAAGCAGACAGCATACAGAAAGCGCCGGGCCTTGGGCAGGCCAGCTCTACAGCCCCACCAGGTCACCGCCCAAAGGCTCTGGTGAATAACAAGGACCCTCGGCAGAATCCCACCCATGCAGATACGTAACACTCATTCATCCTCGGCCAAGCCACCATTCCATCCAGGGAGACCCTCTGCTTTAGCCTAGCCTGGTCATGCCACCTTGAGATCAAGGACAGCCTGGGTCTCCCACCCTGGTCTGGCCTGGGGCCACCTCTGCTCGCTCCAGGGCTCAGGGTCAAGTGTCCAGGCAAGGGCATGACCCTTACTTACATCCACTTGGCATTTCATGCAAGTCCCCGTGGGAGAAATAGCAACTGATTCCAGTGCATTCTCTGAAACTCTTCTGTGACACACGTATTGCCGGACACTCACTCTCTCTATGGCCTGGGGACAGTCAATCAATGGCTTGCATGAAGCCACTTGACCTTTGCAATTGAGTTAGCAAGGAATGACCTTGGGGCTCAGCCAATGAGGCTGGAGTCCTGTCCCTGAGTCTAAGTCCACAGGTCCCAGCTCCAGGCGGTAGCAGAGCTCACCTGCTAGGGACCAGCCTCAGTGGCCACACTCAGAGCTGCTTCTCCAGTGGAGAACAAGCTGCCGACAGGCCCCTTCCTGCCGTGGCACGTCTGTTAGCAGGCTGGAGTGGGCTGCTGCGAGCCTGGCGCTGAGGCCTGCAGTGCTCAGAGGTTGGCCAGAGGGAGGAGCAGACGGGACGTCGGCTGCCAGGGTCAGGGTCAAAAGCAAAGGGTCAGGCTGGAAGCAGGGGGAGCAGCCCCACACAGAACAGCAATTTAAACAGCTGCTGACCATCAGCGTGTTGAGACACCCATGACCTCAGGGAAGCAGACGTCTCCCCTCTCTCTCCCGTCTTTCCCCCTGACCCACGGGGACAGGTTCCTGGACAGGGTTTTGTTGTTGTTTTTTGGTACTAGGATAGAACCAGGGGAGCTTAACCACTGAGCCACATCCCCAGCCCTTTTTTGTATTTTTTTGAGAGACAGGGTCTCTCTGAGTTGCTTAGGGCCTTGCTAAGTGGCTGAGGCTGGCTTTGAACTCTTGATCCTCCTGCCTCAGCCTCCCCAGTCGCTGGGATTACAGGCATACACCACCGTGCCCAGTCTAGACAGGGCTTTAATCTGTCTGGGTCTCAGCTTCCCCATCTATAAATAGGTACAGGACCTCACACTCATCTCTGGGTCTTTGTGGGGGATCAAATGGGACAAGCCAGGTGGAGTGTGGGCCCAGTCCGGCACACAGTAAGGCTTCAGTGGATGGTGTTTGGGGGTCATCATTGCTGTTTGCCTTATTGGAACCCAGAGCTCCCCAGACAGCCGCTGGACACAGGACAGCTGAGAGCCCCATCACTCACCTTCTAAGGAGGGGTCTCAGCCCAACCTGGCCAGAGTCACAGACCAACAGGAACCAAGCCTGCTGCCCCCAAGGCAGCTCTGGACAAGGGCTCTGCCCAGGATGCAGGCGGCATGGATCCGAGCATCCAGGGCTACTTATCTGTGGCTTTGTCCACAGCAGACAAGCTGATGGGCGGAGGCGCCTGCTCCGAGGCGGGAGAGCTTAGCCTGGGAGGATGCTCGGCGGCTCGCCCTCCTGGGGCCAGTTAAAGGCTCTCTCTGACCTCTGCAGTTAGTTGCATTAGCAAAGCAGGACCTCGGGCCTGAGCCAACCAAAGCCCAGGGGCGCTCTTCACCTGGTCGCGCCACGGTGGACACAGGCGGGCCCACAGGCCCCTGAGCAGAGCCCCGCCGCTCTTCCTGGCCTGGCGCCCGGGCCCCTCCCTCAGCACAGATGCTGTTCTCTGAACTTCAAGACTCTGCATCTTCTCCCCCCCCCCATCTCCTGCCATTCCTGAGACTTCTCTTCCTGTGACCGAGCTGTTCCCATCCATCTCTCTTCTTAGCACTCCGAGCCGCTCACTCCATACGCCGCCTGGACAACACGACCCCTGCCCAAGCTCTAGGAACAGGCCAGAGGTCAGTAGCCAGGGTTTCCTGTATCCTAAGAGCCCCAGCCACTAAGGTCTCACTAAAAACAAACCAGAGTATTCTAGGAAGGCTCCCTGGGGGAGGTGGCACTTCTGCCAACCCATCCCCCTACCCTGGCTCCATCTCCCGAGTGAGTTCCAGAATGCCTTTCCATGAGTGACCCCTGGCTGGCTGGGTGACAGGTTCCAGGATGCAACATCATCTCGGTCCTTCTGCTGGGTTCCAGATTCAGTCACTCAGGCCAATACTAGGAAGGCACCCCTTTCTCCACCTACCCACCAGCATCCTCTCAATCCCACCTCTCCCCCATGTCACCCCGGCCACCCTCACATGGCATCCGGCAATCTTTCCAAAGCACAATGTTTATACACCCTCCCCAGCTCCAAAACGGACACGTCCCCCCAGAGGGTGTCTCATACCCCGTGAAACCTGCGTCGCTCACAGCTCTGCCTCTCTGCCCGCGCCCCTGGAGGCCCCAGGCCCAGCTGATTCCTCACCCCCTGTCCCCCAGCCTGTCCCCCAGCCGGAAGCCAAGCTCGTGACTTCTCACTGGGTACCCAGACAAGTACCAGGCCAGCACTGGGAAGGCTCAGGGTGTCTCTGGCCTGGGTGAGAATCCTCTGCAAGACCCTGCAGCCCCTCCACCAGAGGCCCTTAGGAAGCACCCCAACACCGTCCCAGCCCCGACCCCCACTCCATGGCCACTCTCCAGGCCCCACAGAAATACTCACTTTGGCTCCAGGAGGACCGGGCAGGCCTGGGTTGCCATAAGGCCCAGGGGGACCCTGAAAGGGGAAAGAAACAAAAGGTGAGAGAAGACAGGAAGCCGTCCCACCTCCACCAACGTCTGGGACCTTCCTTCTGACTACCAGTAAGTAAGCATCTTCTGCTAAAGCCTACGCGGCCGTGGCTACTCACTTTTTACGAGAGCTCCTCCGCGCCTGGCCCTGCAAGAGCACCTCCCGGGTCTTATCTCCTTTCCTCCAATTAACGCGTGCGGCATTACTTTGGAGATGAGGAAGTCAGTGCTAACAGAGGTTTGTAACTGTCTTGGTCACTCAGCTGCTACTGGGCAGAGCTGGACCTTGACTCTGAGTGCAAGCCCTTAACCTCCAGATTCTGCCGCCTCTCCACACCCTCTTGGCCTGGCCCCATCCGCCCTTCCCAGTTTCCTCGAGCTCACGCCACACTTAGCTATTTGCTTCTCTCCAACATGCCCGGTCCTGCTTTGCTCACCACCTTGGACATACCCTTCCCGTCATGGGGCACGCACGTCTTGCCCATCCACCCTTTCTAACCGGAACTGGACCCATCCTTCAAGTCCTGGTTCAAAGGCCTCCCCCAGCCTAAAGAGGCCTCTCCACCCTTTGGACTCCAACTGGACTTTTGTATGGGGTTTTGGGGTTCAGAGCTCACGGAGGGTACACCTGACCTCTTTGGGACAAGGGTGCATGGCTGTGGCCACAGCACATGGCCAGAGCTCCCCCGAGGCTGCAGGGCCTCCAGGGACCCTGAAGCAGGACCCAGACAGTCCAAGAGCTTCGGTCAAGGTTACAGAGCAGAGCTGCAGCCTGTGGGAGTGGGGTTCCAAGTGTGCAGGCTCAGATCCAGTTATTCGTAGCACTGGAGCTTCCCGGGCAGCTCTGCGTCCCCCCAACAGCTGGCTCCTGTCCTGTCCACTTTCTGCAGCAGGAGCCTGGCTGCTTTCCTCCAGCAAGGCCACACAAGCCCTCAGAGTCAGGCGACACCAGGGGTCTCTGCCCAGCAAGAACAGTCTGGGGCAGTGGGGGTGGGAAGGGGCACCTGGAGGGGTTTACTGTCCCCAGACCCCACTGGTTGGGTGACACAGGCCCTCACCCCAGCCCTTCTTGGTGCATCGAGGTGGCCGTACAGACTCGCTGTCTTCCCTCCTCTCTGAGGCCCGCTCCCCAGCTGCAGCCGGTCACATTCCAACCGAGGCACCTCCCTCTTCCTCAGGCCTGAACTGGGACCCTCCCCTTCTCTGAAGGCTTCAGGAAAGAAGAGTGTCCAGAGTGCACTCGGCCTGGGGAATGGTTAACTGCCACGTGTGACCCTCCTGCAATGACCAGCCCTCCCACCCCCTCCCGCCAGTCCACCAAACACCGAATCCTGGCGCACAGATGGAACACGGATGGGGCAAGCCCTGGTCCTCAGCCTGCGACTTCCCGGCCCCAGCCTCAGTCTCCCATCTCTCCCGGGAATGACTGGGTCCCGGAGGTCGCTAAGGAATCTGGAAAACCTACAGTGTTCAGTCCAGGGGGATCCTGGGTCTGGCTGCAGAGCTCAGGCTGGGTGGGGGTGGTTGGGGAGGCCCCCTGACACCCAGCTCCCTTCCCTGGGACCAGAGGTGGGCCCTGCAGGGCCAGGGATGGCTGCCTCCCCTCAGTTGTGCCCCCAGCTGCCCCACAGATGGGGGACTGGAGCTCTCAGCTGCCCCATCTGCAGCCTGCGAAGGTGGGGGCTTCCTGTTTCCCTGCCCCACTCCCCCCCCCCCCGCCCCGGCCTTCTCCAGCCACTGCCTTGCAGAGAGACGAGGCCCATAGTTGACTGGAAGCCAAGCAGACTGATTCTATAAATGTCGCAGCCCAGAGAGTGGGTGCAGGGAGGGCTCAGGGATTCCCCCACATCCTCGAAGGGCTGGGGGAGTTCATGGAGATGGGAAGGTGCAGGTGACCTCAGATAAGACCCCGTCCCTCCCAAGGCCCAGGCCTGCCGTCTGTGCAGGGCAGCCCTGGGGTTGCTGAAGGCAGCTTTCTATTATCTTTGGAATTTTCTGATCTATGGAATTTCCAACATAGAAACAGGATGGTGGGGGTGGACGGCCAGAGCCCAGAGGCACAGCAACGGTCATCTCCTGGGGCTGGGCGGGACTGTGGGCAAGCCTTACCGTGACCCCAGGTTTCACCCACAGGGAAACTGAGGCCAAAGAGAGCAATGGGATTGGCCTAAGATCCCACAGCTTCTGGGAGAAAATGCTCTTGATTTCCAGCGTGGAAGGCTTTCCAACCATTTTCCCAGCCCCTCTCCCACCCCCTCGGGGCCCCGTGGAAGACAGAGGGGAAAATAAGGCCTGTCTCCAACCTGGGAGCTCACTCCAATAGACAGAAAACGTTGCCTGGGTCAGACTGCCCGGCTCAACCCGGCTCTGGCATTTACTCTCACTTCATTCAAAGCAGCGGAAGCTCTCAAGCCTTGGTTTTCTCAGACGGGATGACCTTGGAACCTACTTCTCAAAGGCTCGGGAAGATGCAGTGAGATCATGCCTCTAAGCAAAGAGCTCAGGGTCAATGAGAGTTTTTAGAGCATGATCCGTGTCATCCGGGGAGGCAGGTAGATTGCTGCAGAAACTCTGGGGAGGGGACAGTCTTCAGAAAAGGAGGTGGCATTTGATCTCAGCCATGACTGGAGGAGCCGCTTGCAAAGGAGGGCTGCCAGGTACAGAGGAGGGTCCAAGCAGAGGTGAGGGGCTGGAGGCCCCACGGAGAGCTTGGGAATGGGGGCAGACTGCCTGGGCCTAGAGGGCAAGGTCAAGGGGCCTCATGCTGGTCCAGATTATGAGATCCTACGGCTGGCAGGGCCCATGACACCTGTGTGTCCTCAGTTCTGGGCATGTGCTTCCTGGAAGGGCCAAAGCCAAGAGGAAATGTGGCTTCAGACAGCAGATTCCAGAGCCCTGGGCCCAGACAGCACAGGGCCAGGTCTGTAGGGAACGAGGGCTCCAGTAATTGCATAACCAGAACCAGCGCTAAAAATATGCCCCAGGCCGCTACCTCTGCCAGGGCCTCACCAGGCACCCAGCGTGGGAAAGGCTGATTCAGCCTGACACAGACGCGATGCCATGGGTCCCTGTCCCTCAGAAAGGGGCAGGCTTCCCTCTTAAGGGTCCTCCAAGTGTCCCAGAACACGAATAAGAGGCTAGACTCCAGGTCTGGATTGGAGAGATGCTGTTTGGTTTTCTGGTCCCTAAGATGAGAGTGACCAAAGGTCGGGGCTGCGGGTGGGGGTCAAACAGGCACCATAAATGACATGCAGGGCCCAGGCAGAGGTGCTGTTGTCACTCTGAGGCTTGGGCCAGCTCATGTCAGCCCCGCAGCTCAGCCCAGCTGTCCTCCAACCCCCCTCCCAGGACGGGGAGCCCAGCCCCTCCCTGGCAGGGCACATCCAGTTGACGTGTTGATGTGTCAACATCCCTATCCCAGGATGGCCCTGGAAAAATGGGAAGACACACACAGCTGTCACATCTGCCCCAATAAATACGGAAGCCCGTCAGCTCAGGGAGATGGTCTTCAGGAGCCCCTTCCCCACCTCAGGCTGCAAGGGGTGAGGCCCACAGTGGGCAGCTGAGGCCCTGAAAGCGGTCACTGCTGTCCCATGCCGTGTTGGTCCACAGAGCAGCCCCAGGAGCCCCTTGCCCCCGCCATGCCCACAGTGGAAAGTGTGGTGGAGAGGGACGGGGAAGAGCCCGAGGAGACACTGCAAGCTGGGACCTGGGGGCAGGAAGACGCAGGCCAGAGAGCCGGCCAGAGAGCCACCCAGATATCCAAAGGACAGCGTGTGATCACTCACCCGAGGTCCCCGTGTGCCGGGAGGTCCAGGTAGTCCAGGCAGCCCAGGGGGACCCTGAAGAGAAGCAAGAAGACAGTGTCAGACAGGACCAAGTGGCAGCCAGGAAGGGCATCAATCAGCTCTGGGCATAGAAACCTGTGGCCAAGGGGAGGGTCCCTGAGGTCACCGCCCTGAAGAACTCACACTCCTGGGTCTTCCAGGCCTTTCAGAAAAAGCCACCACGACTTCCCCCGTCTTTGAAGCCCTTGTTCCTTGTCACCCAGATGGCTCCAGGGGCTTCCCTAACCCCTTCCCCAAGTCCCCTCCCCTCCCCTTTAAAGAGCACTATGTTACTTGAGGAAATATCTGCTGAGAAGCCCGTTTCTCCCACCACATCATGGTCTTCTCAAAAAAAAAAAAAAAAAACTAATGGGATCTGAGTCATCTCTCCTTCCCCAGGACTCAGCCAAATGTTTGATTAAATAAAACAGCAAGAAACCTCAGAGTTCAGCCAAGTTCTCTGCAGAGCCAAAGCAGACTAGGGACTTGGCCAAGGTCACACCAAGCATTCTTGCACCCTGGAGAGACAGTGAGCTTACATACACAGGGTTTAACCCCCCATCATCTAGTAGCAAGGTTAGGCACAGTACCACATATCACCACAGAGTTGTTGCAGATTTTATGGCTCTTCTTTATTTTGCAAAAAAAAAAATTATTTTTTCCAAAGAAAAAAAATTGTTCTAGTTGGGTGCAACGATGCCTGTAATCCCCGTGACTCAGGAGGCTGAAGCAGGAAGATCGCAAGTTCAAGGCCAGCCTCATCAATTTAGTGAGGCTCTAGGCAACTTAGTGAGACTTTATTTCAAAATAAAAAATAAAAAGGGCTGGGGATGTGGCTCCGTGGTTATGTGCCCCTGGGTTCAATCCCGGGTACCAAAAACAATTTAAAGCTTGTGCTAGTATTACTTAAAAATCGTTTACTACTAAACTTTGGTGCAAGATGAGGATGCGTGGAATACCCGTGAACACGTACTAACGCAGTGGCAATGAGTCTATGGTGAAATATGGTAACCAGCCTGTGCCTGGAGAAGGAACCACACACCCCACATGGGCTGCTTCAAGGATGATGAGACTGTCCGTGTCCAGCGCGGTGTGTGGTACATACTGTCACTGGAGTGTCCCACCATGTCCTCCCTTCACCGTGGCCCCTGCAACAGCGCCTGCGGCCTGCCTGCCTCCACTCTGTCCTCCACACAGCCTCACTCCCTTCCCCAAGCCACTCCCTTGCTCAACGACATGTAATGGCTCCTCATTTCCCACAAGAGAAAGGCAAGTTGGGCATTTAAGATGCGCACCTGCCGGCCCTCACCTCCCTTCCATTCCCACAGAGAGGGAGGAGGTGAGCCGACTCAGCACGCCCTGGGCTCAGCTTCCTTCCACTCCTGATTTTTCAGAGCCGGGGACTCTATGCAATCCCGACCACTTGAGTCTCCAATGTTCCCCTTTAAAATGGGTCCAATCGCTACTGCCCCGTCCACCCCAAGGAGCAAACGAGCATCAACTGCAGTGCCTGGTGTGATGAACTGGGCCCGAAGCCTTCGAAGGAAGCCAGGCTTTCGAGGATGTGTGAGGCCTGGGGAATTCATTTGTTTCAAATAACCATCAGCGAGATTCCAGGTTTCCTCCCCAGAGTTAAAATGGGCCGCGTTGAAAACTCAGCCCGCTCTGGTGGTAATTAATCCCGATCTCACGCTGGGCAGCCCGGCTGGCCTGGCCTGGGAGCACCACGTGCTGGCCGGCCCATGAATAAAACCCAGAGAGATCCAGACAGGCAGATACGGGCACCAGGGCCCCGCGGTCCCTGGGCAGCCGCCACTGCACCTCTGGGTTCCTCCAGCCAAGCTGGCACTCGGGGCTGGGAGGACGGTCTCTAGTCCCACACCCAGGCGGGTCCCAAGGGCTTGGGATCGGGCCAGTCCACCCTCCGGTCCTCCCAAGCTGGCTTGGGTGGGGGCAGCAGAGTGCAGTGTGGGGGTCCTAGGCTCACGCTGGGCAGCACCCCTTCCCAGCTGCGTGGTTTGGGGGAAGCTCCTTCCAGTCTCCAAGGCTTGCTTCCCAAACTGTCAGATGAGGATCGTTGCAGCACCTACCCGCAGATAATCTATAAAACGTGCTAATCCTGGTGCCTGGCTCGCAGTGAGAGCTCAGAAAATGAGTTATTTCTGTTAGGCTCCTGGAACTGGCCCACTCGAAAGTTTAAGTGCCCCCCTCCCCCGCTACTGCCTCTGTTTTGGAGAGAAAGCCAAAGATGTCCCTCCTTAGAAGACTGTTCTTGGCCCAGTTCTCCCAGATGACCCAGAAATAAAACACTGGGGGATACAGCTAAGCATTGCTGGAAGTATATAATACCCTTTCAATGGATAAGAAACCAGAGAGGGACTCAGAGAAGCAAAGTGACTTGTCTAAGGTCACACAGCTAACAAGAGGCAGAGCCGGGGTCATTGGACCTGTTCTCCTACCATGGGCAACACTATCAGGTGTGTCTCTGATGAAGTATGTGGCCTTAGCTAGGTCCCTCCCACTCTGTGTTCATCTGGAAAAGGAACATTCTAGAGCCTTCCAGACCACAGGCACTTTATGAGCTCTGGGGGCCAGGTAGGGAGAAAAACAGTCAAATCATTTCCACCTCATGGAGAAGGTCAAGGGCCAGAGGAGAGAGGAAGGGGCAGTTCCGGCTACGGGGCGGCCATAGCTCAAAGGCCTGGACACTCCCTCTTGGCATCTGTTCTGCCCCAGAAATGGGGGCATCCAGGCTAGAGTCTGACCTCACCCACAACATCTGCAGAGCAGACTCCGAGTGCCACTCAGGACCCGGGACCAGCCTGGTGATGTCAGCTCACAGCCCAGCTCCCTGACATGACAGCGCCGGCCCCAGCTGCGGGCCTGCTGAACCCTCCACCCACCGCCAGAGCCAGGGCCAGGGCCACAGCTGTCCGCAGGCCCGAGCGCTCCCGCTTAGGGCTCACTTTGTTCGCGGCCTGCGAGGGCGGACCCCCCCCCCCCCCGCGCCCCTCGGCCCTGGCCCAGCCCCTGCCTGTTCTGCACACAGCGGAACATGCTGCCGCTTCTTTCCAGGACCTGAAGCCTGAGCGGGTGGCTCCGGATGATTCACGGGCCGGGGTGGGATTTTCCACTCCACACTGCAAACAACAGGGCCTCTGAGAGGGCCCAGGGCTGAGGGGGCGGACAGCGGGGGGCTGCGGGCCGCCTGGGGGAGGGCGAGGAGGCCTGGGCTCTCCGGGTGCACGCAAATGGCCCCCTCCGGGCCTCCCCCAGGGTCCTGGCCTCCCACAGCCAGGCCTGGGGAAGCCCGTCCCACGGAACAAGTCCCCCCTTGTGTCCGGCTGAGCAGCCCGCGGCCAGGCCTTGCCGAGTCTGTGCTGGCAGGCACCTCCCCTGGCAGCTGTCAGGCCGGGGGACCGTTGACAGGCCTGGGATTCGGGGACGGAGTCCAGGCCTGGGTGTGCTCTCTGCCATGTGACCCTCTCGGTCTCCGCTCTGCGTCTGTACCCTGACGGGGTGGGCAGGAGGTCTCCAAGAGCCTCTCAGACCACCTGAGTTTACTGTTATTCCCAAGAATAGCTGGGTCCAAGTTTCTCAGTAGGAATCCAGCACTGAGAGGCCCCGTGTGCGTCCCTGCGTCTCCCGGGGCCTCCGGGCCTCGATTTGCTCAGCTGTGAAATGGGGATGGCGCCCTGTGTGTGCATGTGGGTTGTTCTCCCTTTGCCCTCGGATCCATTCTGACCCTGGGAGCCAACCCCCCACCAGCTGGCCCTGGCCTCCTTGCCTCCAGCAGATGGGCCAATGGGAGACCCAGGCAAGTCCGGAAACAGGAAAGGGGACATGTCATTTCTCCCTGCTGCGCTCTGCTGCGGCTACGTGTCAGCTCTCCCAGGGCTGGAGAAGGCCTCCCCCCAGGACGGTCAGGCCTGGGTGTCAGGACCACATGCTGTAGGACCCAGCTTCCTCCCAAGCTGCCTGCACCTCTGTAAACAGCCTCCTAACCTCTGCGGGTAGCCCTGCGCCTGGCCTGCAGCCAGTGCTCCTCAAGTAAACCACCCAGCACACAGTAGGCCTCCAAGATGGCTGAAGGCACCCACCCCTCCCACCTCCTGGGGCCCTTGCAGGGGGGAAGTTTCTCAAGATCTATCCCCACTTTCCCACCAGGAGCCGCCAAGAGGACCCGAGGCCGCGGCCTTGGGTGGGGGTGTTGCAGGAAGCAGCAAACAAGTCCAGGAGCTCGGACAGACCCTGGGCGCGGAGGTTCTGGTGCTGGGTGCCCCCACACCCCTTCTTACTGAAGCCACAGAACCCTGGAAGGGTAAGTCACGCTGTGTCCCTGTTTTACATGGACAGAAACTGGGACTCAGACAGGTGACGTGACTGCCACAGCGCCAGACCCCTAGAAGCCTCTCCATCAACATGGCGAAGACGGGACGGACGGCTAAGCCAGCGGGCGGCTCCCGGCCAGGCTGTTCTGAATCTGCCTGCTCCCACCGCCCTCTCGGCCTCTCACCCAGGAAGCGATTCTGTGTAGCCTCCAGGAGCCTGGCCAGGAGTTGGGGCAACCTGGTCCTTGAAGGGATGCATTTGTTTCTTGGATGGTCACAGAGCCTCTGCCGTGAGGCCCCAGCCCAGGCTCCCCAGGGGACACTGCAATAAGAGCCAGTGCATTCAGATGCCAGCAGCCTGACCGTGGGTAATGAGGCCCTAGGGCACCCCCTGCCCGTGGGGCTTCCGGGAGCTTCCCTGCAGCTCTGGGAACTGCCCTTGCCCCACAGCTCACCTGGGCCCAGGTTTTCCCCCTCCCCCTCCTGGGCTCCCACAGAGCACCTCGAAGAACCGCTACCACCCCTGCAGGCCCTGGGAACCCCAGCCTGGCCTCGGCCAGCAGCCTTGCACCCCACCTAGACCCCACTTATGCACATTTCCCCTTAGCCACCCACCCGCTCTGCTCCTCCAATACCCCACCCCAGGGGAGACTGAGCCCGGGAGGGGGAGGAACTTCCCCAGTCACTCTGCAAAACAAGCTGAGATGGCCCCGCATGCTGCCCCCTGCTGCAGCTCCCTGGGTGGCGTCCCAGCCAGGCCCCAGGCTGTCCTCCCACACAGCACGTGGAAGCTGTTTATCATCCTGCAGTCCACAGAAACCGAGGGTCAGAGTGGACCAGTCACAGCAGGAGGAGGTGGAGCCGGGACTTGAACCCAGGTCTGCGGGTCCCCAGAGCCAGGACAAGGAAACCCTGCTGCTGCTTAGATCCTGAAGGCCCCCTCCGGGGTGGGGAGAAGAAGAGAGAGGACAGAGATGGGGGGGGGGTCACGTCACTGCTCAAAGGAGACACTGGTATCTGGGGGGAAGGAGAGAGCTTTTTTCCACCTGCCACACGGTGGACAGAGATTCTAGAAGCTTCTTGGTCCCTCCTGGAGCACAAGGGGCAGGTAGGATAGGGGCAGCACGGGGTGTAAAGTAGGGTGGCACCGAGGCGGGTTGATGTCCTCCCTCCTGCCCTTGGTGGTCAGGACGGGAGGGGCAGGAAGACCTTGGAGAGGGGCAGGAACCAGAGCTCCCAGCTCCCACAGGAACCTTCTGGGCCTCCCGGCCAGGTCCTCCATCTCTCTCTCTCCCCAGCTCACCCACCCGTCAGACAGGGATCAGCAACACCAACTTTCCCTTGACTGGCTTCCACGAGGGGCCACAGGAGACGCTGGGCAGGAGGAAGCGGCTCATCAACTTGACTCAGTACCAAAGCAGAACATTCTGTGAATAAGGAGCCCTTCCTCTGAGGCCAAGGAGGAGGCCTGACTCACCTGTGAAGCCCTGATGTGACCCGGAGCCCCAAGAGAACACAGGGAGAGGGATGGAACGCACTGGTTTCCCAGTGGAGAGTCTGACCCTCTTATGGGCTGTGTAGCCTTGGGCAAGTCCTGACCCTCTCTGGGCAGTCTCCTACCTCTGCACCTGCCTAAGTTAGAGGACTGAATTGAATAATACCTAAGCATCTGTCCACTGATCAGGCTGATCCAGTACCTTCTTTGATGAAGGAGAAGCTCAAGAGGAGGTTTAGCAGAAGGTGACCCAAAGCCCTAAGGCCCGGGGTAAAACAACAATTTGAGCATAAAATAGGCCCCGAAGCCAGATTCTACACCAAAAAAAAAAAAAAAGTTCCTATTCCAGTTCTGCTCAGCTAGACCTGGCCTCCCCTGCTCCATACCTCATGTGGCCTTGGGAGGGAGAGCTGGCCTCCTCCACTGAGCTGGGACATGCTGTGTGGCCAGAGCAGGAACCCTGGGCCTCCCCATCTGCTGTTGAAGGGAACAGTTCACCCCCTTCTGACCTCACTGCAGCTTGGGAAGCTGAGGTGTCAGTGCCCAGGGCGGCCAGGGCCAGAGGCGGGCTGCTTGGCCTGGGGGGTGAGGAGTTCCTCACTCTCCCCTCCCTCCACTGCCAAGTTCAGAACATGGAACTCCAAGGCACGTTGACATAACCGCATTGCAATGCATGGCGTTCCATACGGTCGACAATATGGTTATAATAAAAGCGGACTCTCTGTCCCCTTGGAGACAGGCTGAATAAATATTATTCCTAATGATTATTAAAACTCATTAAGTGTGTTTGTAAGGCCTGGGAAGTCCCTGCGCCGGCCACTGTCTCCACATGGTAGGGAGCCCTGACTTCCAACACAGCCCAGGGGGAGACCCCGCTCTGGGAGGGAGGGTGGAGGCCACCGACTGGAGGCCACCTCCAAGGAAGGAGGAGGACAGAAGAGGCCCGAGTCTTCTGGAAACTCCATCCCACCACTCCCCACCCGGAGGAATTGGCCTCCAGCTGCGGGAAGGTCGTTGCCCCTGGAGACGGTCCCGGCAAGCCAGAGGCAGCGACCCTGAGACCACCTCCCGCACACGGATTGCTCTCCCTCATCCCTTCCTGTGCGCTCCGGCCCCTGCTGACCTCCCTCGGCCCCAGCTCCGCTAGCAGGGCCTGCAAAGCAAATGCCCACAGGTACTGGCCAGACAGCTCATCGTGATGGGTGACAGGCTTGGTCTGCTGGCTCAAGTGGGAGGAGTGGGGAGCCTCGGTGACAGAAGGTTTGTCCTATCTCCCAGGGCCGCCCATGGATCCCTCTACCACCCACTTTCCAAGAGAAATCGGTCCCCAAGACTTTTATAAGACATCTCTCACAGTTTTAAAATACTAGTCACTTAGTAAAGAATACCGCACGTGCCAAACCAAACACATCCACAGCTACTCACAGCTGACCTCTGCCCACAACTCCCAGACTGCGGCAGGGCCTGCTGTCCTGAGAGCCAGCTCTGAAGGACGCTCTGCTGCTCACCCAGCTCGCTCGGCCGGACCCGGGGCCAGGATGTCAATGGCTCTCCTGAAGCCACTAGACCTACGCACAGGTCAGCATAGAAAGACCTTGGACCCGGGCCACCCAGAGCTCAGGGCTGCCCCTACCTGGGGATGGCCCCAGACCCGAGTCTGGCTCAGTGGACAGGAACCTGCAGCAGGATGTGCAGAGGGAGCCCGGAGGAGTCACCCAGGGTTCCAGTGACGACTCCGCCACCCCCGCTCCCCTGCCCTGGTCAGGAGCAGCCTCTTGACCACGCTGCCCTCTGCCCTCCACTGGATGCAGCACGCACCCCACCCACACTTACCGGCAAGCCACAGTCTCCCTTGGGCCCTGGAGGCCCCATCAGCAGGGGGAACGGTGTGGGTCCCTCCAGGTGAATGAAGGAATAGCCGCTGCTCGTCACGGGCCGGGCACCAGAGGACAGGACGCCCACGGGGGCCGAGACCAGGGCCGGGGTGGTCTGTCCACTGGGCGGGGACTGTCTGGGACTGGCCCTGGTGGTCGGGTCATTCAACAGGACATCCCCGGCTGCCTTCCCAGGTCTGAGGGGGACGGGCTTCTGGGGACCGCTCTTGGGTCCGGCTTTCTTGGAGGTTTCTGATCCAGTGGGTTTCTTGCTTCCGGCGGAGACGGAACCAGGAGAGCGAGTGGGGGGTACAGTTCTGGGAGTTCCAGTGCCCAAGACTGAAGCCACCATCACGGCTGGTGGCCGAGCTGCTCTGGGAGGGCCAGGGCTGGTGGTCGGCAGAGGTCTGCGGGTGGCGGTGAGGGCAGAGGCTGGCCTCCTGGCACGGCTGGCTGGCCTGGCCTCAGCAGGGGCTACTGTGGAACCGGCAGTGGGAGGCAGGGGCCGGGTGCTGGGGGCCGGAGGCCGGGCCACGACAGGGTTCCTCTGGGCCGGCTTCGCAGTGGGATGGGGGACTTTGACAGGACCTGGGCGGGGAGTGGGCGGCGCAGGCTTCGGGGTGGGCGGAGCTGTCTTAGTGAATGAAGACAGAGCGGCTTTCTGGGTAGGATGAGGGCTTTTCTCAGGGGCTACTGAAGGAAAAAGGACGGAAGGTTTGGTGGAGGGACTCTTAGGGACGTGGGTGGCTGTGACTGGCAATGGTTGGGAAGCCGCGGGGTGAGTTCTGGTGGAGCCAGCCAAGGAGGCAGGGGGCAAGTGGGCAGGGGCTTTACTGCCTGACCGTTTGGCAGGTGGCGGTGGGGTCCCGGCTGGGCCTCCCACAGGGACACGCTGGCGAGGATCTGAGGGGCTAGTTCTTTGGGGTTGGGTGGGCCTGGCGGGAGCCACTGTCACTGCAGGCCCCCTGCCTGCTGGTCGTGACCCCAAGGCAGGCGTGGCAGTGGTCAAGTTCTCCAGGCCTAGCAGGGCCAGGTCACTCTGGAAGGTGAAGGGTCTGCTGGAGTCTTGGGGATAGAGGGGTCGCAGCTGGGGCCAGTCCAAGCCAGCCTGTGCACACTGCTTCCTCAGGTGGGCGCAGTAATTGTCAGCGACCCGCGTCACGGGGTGGATACTGAACTGGCAGAGGGCCCCTTCGAACTGGACAGCACGGGGGCTCATCTTCCCAAAGAGGAAGGTGCCCTGAGGGTCAAGCGTGGGATCCCTGTGGAAGGGCAGCGGGACAGGCACCCGGCGCTGCCCGCAGGCCGTCACCAGAGTGACCGTGCGGCCACGGAGCTCGAGGGCCAGGTGGTGCCAGCGACCATCGTGCACGTCCAGGTCGAAGGCCACGGAGCGCCGAGGCCCCAGGTGGACCACGGTCTTGCCGGGGAGGAACTGCAGGCCCAGCTGCAGCTCATGCCTGCGGCTGCGGACGGCGAAGAGGAAGGCGTGGTTCACCCGGTGGGAGCAGAGACTCAGCACCAGAGCCAGCTCCGTGCCCAGGGCCACGGGGACCAGGGCGGCCGTGGGGGCCTGCAGCCGGGCCCTCTGTGTGAAGATGAAGCCCGACTGGAACGGAATGACCCCCGGGGTGGCGGGGCTCCGGCCGCCCCCTGGCTTTGTCCAGCTGAGGCCCAGCCGCTGAAGGACGTCCACATCTGAGAGAAGAAGGGAGAGGACATCTGAACATAGCGCTGTCCCATGCCAGGGGCCGAGGGCGCTGCACTGGGGCTGTCAGGCACGCACCGCGACCCCTTGTAAGGCTGCATCGTCCCTATCACAGCTGAAAACACAGACCTCCCGGTTCAAATCCCGGCCCTGCCACTTCCCGACCCTGTGGCCTTAGTGCCTCAGTTTCCCCACCTATTAAATGGGATAATAGGATCAACCTCAGAAGGACATATGACAATTCAGTGAGGGAACACTCTTTTTTAAAAGAGTCTGGCACAAAATAGCAAATGACAGCTGCTAATACCTAAAGTCACGAGGGCCACCACCCGCCAGTGTCCAGTGTTAAGGTGTCCTTAACAACAGTGACACATTTTACAAAGCCACCTCCTCCGGGAAGCAAACCCCTACGTAAGGGGCCACAGTGACAGGAACAGACCTGTCCCCAGAGCTTGGTAAAGGGAGTCCAGGGGACTGACTGTCTCACCAACCCCCTCCAGAACCTGCCTCGTCTCCCCTCCTGTAGAGGTCTCTGCCTGGGTGGGTGGGGCAGGCTGAGGAGCTGACCTCGGCCATCAGAAAGGTGACGTGTGCTGACCCTTCCCTCAGCGTGGCTTTGAAGAGAGCAGAAAGACTCAGGTATTCCTGCAACCTCTCTCCTCTGGGGAAGTGTGTGGACATCTGACTGTGGTCACATCTGCCCCGTAATTACGTTGGCGGGGTTTGCCAGAGGGAAAGGAAGGTTCCGGAATGTTTATGGAAAGCCTTCCTGACCTTCCCTCTCCCGGGTCACTTGATCTCCTGCAGTTGGCTGAGCTGCCAGCATCTACAGAAGCCGGCTCCCGAGATCCGACTCCGCGGGGAAGCGGAGGCTGCCTCCAGAATTTCCATCTGGGTCAGGGCCTCGGGACTCTGCCCAAGTGTGCTGTCCCATCTCTGTGCGAAGGCCATGTCGGGGCTGGGATCCAGCACCGGGCACTTAGTCGGGTCTCAGTTAGCAACTGTGAGGTGGACGGAGGGGTGGGGTGGGGGGCGGAGGGTTCGGCCACTGTAGAACACAGAACTCAGATCTGGCAGCACTGCCCAGGGTTCCATAGTGGGCTCCAGAGGCGGCAAGACGCGCCTGACCAGACCTGCTGGGAGCCCGGACCCCAAGCCTCAGTTGCCCCTGCTGAAAACCCAGGCAGATGCCTCACCCTAGGGCTCCTGGAGGGACGAAATGGCCACCTTCCCCACCATCCTGTAACTCTGCTCACGTCTGTTCCTGACCCCTGGGCCTCGATTTCCCTGCCGGGAACACACAGGAGCTGGACCAGCCCTGGAGACGGTGCCCTGGTCAAGGGTGTTCTAAGAAGAACTGGAGAGCTCGGGGTGACTGCACAGCTCCTGGATTTAAGACCCCGTTCTTCCCCAGGACTCAAGAGCCTGCTCTTCACCTCCAGTCTCCTTCCCTTCTTTCTCATACCTTCGCCTGTCCCAGGCTCTAAGGTGACATAAACCATGGCTTGGGGTGGACCTTGTAGGTCTTAAGCAATGAAACCCTCTTATCATCATGGAATACTTAAAACAGGAGGAGCCACTTGGTGGGGGTGAGGTGGGGGACAGCAAGCCACCTCGCCCCGCCCCAGTCCCACCATGCCAGCCCCGTGCAGTGCGTCCCTCCCCACACACAAAGCCCACGGCCCAGAGGACCACAGCTGGCCAGGGAAGGCAGCCTGCAGGAGGAGTTCCTTCTTATCCTCTCCAGGTGGGTTTCAAAGCCAAAGACCAGCCTGTCTCCAGGACCCCCAACACCTTCTGTAGCTAAGGGACAAAGTCCCAAACTCTGAGACCCGGAGTTTCCATGAATCTCTGGCCACTGCAGAGAGGAAAGGGCAATGCTGGCCCAAAGTCTTCGGATGAACAAAATCGTTTTTAAAAATGGTAAATGCTTTCCATGCGTGTTTTCTCAACTGACCCAACAACCTGTGAAGGTGGACCCTTTACCGTCCCCGCTCCATAGCCGGGTTAGATGGAATCACTTGCCCGAGAGCAAACTGGCTTATCAAAGGCGCATCTGGGGCTGGAACCCAGGGCCCCTGACCCCAGGGTCTCTGTTCTTAGCTACTCAGCTCGACTACTCTGGAGCCGCCCAGATTCACTGGAAGGCAGAGTAGAGTCACTTCCAGAATCCCATCAGGGGGGAAGAGACGGGGGACAGGGAATGAATTCAGCCCAAGGCCAAGATGGAAGGGCCCGGCCAGCTGGCCCCAGCAAGATCCCTTTATTACATAAACCTGGCTCCACACAGCTCCGGCCGCTCCCCAGGCCCCTCGGAGCCTGACTCAGGACTCTGGACAGCTGTTCACCTACTTTGTGGGGGAAACAGCAAGCTTGGAAAATATGACATTTGCACAAATGTTGCTGGCCGGTAGAAGTCTCTTCCGGGCATGGGCCTCCCTCCCAAGGGCCCAATCCCTGCCCAGGTCAGGCCACAGGGACTCCCGGAGTGCCCGCTGCCTGCCCCAGAACACAGGCGGGCGTGGAGGAGGGGGAAGGGCAGCTATTTTAAGAGGCTTTGTGGCTGCTTGACAAACAGATGTGGGAAAGGTTTCGATTTCCGTGGGCAGCTGTGTAGCCGGCCCACTGCCGCCCTGGTCCCCTGAATAGCTCCTCAGGGACAGGCGGGAAGGGAGGATCTCACGGGAAGCAGAGAGTGGGATTCCAGGCTGAGAGAGGACAGTTGTGCACTTACTGTCTCCTGAGTGTACCCACTGGACAGAGAGGGGCACCTGAGGCTCATAAACCAAAGTGCCTCATAGAGATCTGCCCCAGACAGGGCCGTGACCATGGCCTCCCCTACCCCTCGCAAAGCCCCGTGGGTCATGCAAAGAGAATGTGCCTGTGAGTGACCCCTGTCTCCTGAGGGAGAACCGAGACACAGTCCCAATCAGGGGCACGGATGTCGGCAGCCCCTGAGTCCTCAGGCCCCTTCCGCCCTCCTTTGTCTCCCCTGGACAAAGAGAAGAGAGAATTACCTTCAGGAGCTCCTTGGGTGGAGGCCAGGTGACAGGCAGACCAGACTAAGATCCAGGCGAAGAGAAAGCCCCTAGGGACAGCAGACAGCACACACAGTCAGCTTCCGCCCTCCGCCAGACCCAGCGGGGAAATGGGGTGGCCCAGCCCCCGTGCCACCCAGGGCTCCCCTGTAGAGGTGCCATCCAAGCCCCCAGGACCCTGGGCCCAGGCTCTGCAGCAGGACCTGCCTGCAGGGTACCAATGCCCCCACCAGCTCCACAGACAGCTAAGCCAAGGGGCAGGAGGACTTACACTGGGTGGCAGGAGACCCAGGGACCAGCTCAGAGCGGGTGCACTGAGCAACCAGGAGCCCGTCCCTCCCCACCCTGGACCTCAGTCTCCATATCTATACGACCTCATGATCTTGAGACCCTGCCAAAGGCCCCTGCCAACGGGCAACAGAGCCAGAGCAGAAAGGAAGGTTAAGTGGGAAGGCCCGACTTGACCATTTGAGTGGCCACTGACCTTCAAGGGCAGGGGAGAGAGACCCCTTTCCCAGGCCCAGCACTGGGCAAGGGCAGCTGCCCACTGACTTATGCAGATGGAACATGGGAAACCAGGAGACAGGAGGCTGACCCAGGTGCACACCGGGCCCTGGAGCTTCTCAATGGGTGACCCCAGGGCGAGTCACTCAGCCCCCTGAGCCTAGGTTGTCCCCATCCTCTCTCTCTCCTAGGCAGGCATGAGGATGAACTCAGCGCCCGCATGTTAAGGGCTCAGCCTGTTGATAGTCACAAAGGCCATCCCCCCTGCACACCATCACCACCACCCCCTCCCCCACCGCCAGCCCTGCACTGAGGCCAGGAGCTACAGGTCTGCTCAGGGGCTCTTGCCAAGATGGGCAGAGGCAACATCTGATTTCACCTTCCTGTGCCAGCAGCCACCAGTGACACCTGAAGCCACTCAGGGTATCTGATCCCCAGGTGGGCAGAGGGGAGGGCGGCACGTGGCCAGAGATGGCCAGGATGCAGGCAAAGAGAGCTGGTCCAGGTGGGTGCGGAGGGCTAAGGCTGGGGTGGGCAGACCAGGGTCCATTTCCAGCTAGGATGGTGTGCAGCTGGGGAGCCCCGAAATCCAGGAAACCCGCATGCCAGAATGGCCGTCCCGGACCCTAGGCCCTTTGGAAAATAAGCTCAGCCTCCATTAGCTTTCCCTACTCTCAAATTTAATAGCGATTCCCATCAACAGCAACCATAACTTGGGCGCTTTGGAAGACACTGGTGCTTCTCCACCCACAGCCATCCCTCCATCCTGCAGTCACATGTGGACATGGACTTCAGAGGACTCCAGATGAATCTGGACAAGCCTAAGCCAATCCTGGGAATGGCATGCATATATTACTCAAATGTGGCCAATGAGATGGGAGTGGTGCCTGTCTGGGAACCTCAGGAAAGTGCTTTAAAAGGACAAAGAGGTTTTCTTCTAGCCTCTGTATGTCATTGAGTGAGGACATCCCACTTGGAGTTGTTGCAGCCATTTTGCACACGTGAGGTAACAAGCCTCATATACAGATGAGGATAGCAGAATGGAAAATACCGCGTTGAGATGCTGAATTATCCAACCCTAGCATTGCTCTTCCTTGGGGCCTCTTAACATGGGAAGCAATAACCCCATTATTATTTAAATCATGCTGAATTGGCACTTCCCTTACTTGGAGAAAACTCATTTGCCCGCAAGCCGGCTGGAACAGCTCCCAGGTGCTGATGATGGTCCCTTTGCACATCCTGCTCCATCAGCTGGACCCTGCTCTCTGCCTGGTCAGTTCCCACACGTCCATTAGCTCCCAATTTGCTGTGCTCTCTGAGTCACACCACACCCACATCAAGTACTTGGTCACCACTGTCCACTTCCCTTCCTAGAAGACGTCCCCCAAGGGCAGAGTGAGCTGGCCTGTTCCCTCGTCCACGCCTGGCAGACACATGGGAAGTGTCCAGTGCATTCTCACGGGATGAATGAAGATCAGCTGGAATCACAGGGCTCTGGGCCTTGAAGTGTCCTCCCAGCACCCTCGTCCGGCTCTGCTCTGGCTTTCCCAGCCCCGCCCCTCCCCCCCATGGCCTGCCCTTGGGCTCACCAGGGCAATGGTAAAGGTCAGAGTGCCCAGGTGCCAGGTGAGAAGGGCAGGGTAACCCCCTGCAGACCTCCCACACCAAGCCAATGGCAGCCTCATTGGTGCTGGGAAGGATCACAGTGGCCACAAACTGCACCGACCCAGAACTTCCCAAGAGACATTGTTTAATTTGGCATTGGAGAAGACCAAGGTGGGGACGCGGGGACAGGCACCTCCCCATCAAGGCTTCTCTGCACATAACTCCTTCTTCACTACTGCTTCCTACCAGGGACACCCTCCAGGATATGGTGGCCAGATGGACGGGGAAGAGCTGTCCCCTGCATCCTGGTCTCGACAGCCCCCGCGGCGCGCCCGCATACCAAAGGCTCTGAGAAGTCCTGCAGCAAAGCAGTACCCACACTCGCTGCCATCCTGCAGCCCCCCAGTCCAGAGGACCCGGGAACTCATTTGTCCTGAGAATGCCTTCTCAAAGGACATTGCTCTTCTTTGCCTTTCTGAGTCCCTGCCACCCCTTCGTCTCTGTCCCTCCAAGCCCCTTCTTCTCCTGGACTCTCCATGCACCGGCCCTCACTCCGGGCGTCCTTCCCTGTGCCCTGCCACATCCTCCCTCCTCAGAATGTTTCCCAGGCTGACAAAGGGAGGCCAGGCGGGAGAGAGGAGCTCAGGGACACCCATGTCCTCCTCGATGGATCGCTCTGGTGTGGCTAAGGCAAGACGATGACTCTTTAGAAACCGGAGGGAAAGATTTTAAATCCTCCAAGCTCAGGAGAAACAAGACTCGGGGAGGATGGAATGGAATCTCCTATTGGGCTAACACCGTGGCCTCTAGCCTGCAGGCTGGCCGCCCATTCATTCACCTCTGCAGACACACCGCCCTGCTCGATGGGTGCACTGACCCACGACTCCCCAAGGGTAGAGCACATTTGAATGGGAGAAGGTCCTTAAAGATCACCCAGGGGCCAGACTCCTATCCCCTGAGAGGAGAAACGACTCCTCCACGCCACAGACCCCACTGGACAGTCTCCGGTGGAGAAGAAACTGGAGGCCTGTGGGGCCTTCCTGCATGCCAGAGACCACAGTCCCTGCCTTCACCAACAGGAACAGAGAGGTAGCCAGGGAAGCCAACGAACCATCTAGTAAGTAAGCTCCGGGCCTGGAAAGTTGGCTCCCAGAGGCCCTGCTGCTTCTTCCCTCCGGTTCCAATCCTGTTTAGCTACTGTGAATAACGCTGGTGCCGGTGCTGGCTCGGGCTGTGTTCTAGCAGACTTCTGTTTCCACCACCGCTTGTGGGCCCTGGCTCAGCGATACCCGGGCTCCAGGATGTCGGGAAGACTCAAGCACAGGGGCCAGGGAGGACAGGAGGTGGCCCTAAGCACAGCCACAAGAAAGGGGCCCCAAGAAGGGCACCCAGCTGTTCCTGTCCCTTGCCAAAGGCCCTCTGCAGCCCACCCGTCACGGCTGCTCCTGGACAATGAGGCGACCAGAACCTGCACCCTATCTGGACGGTCTTTCTTCTGTCCTTGTCACCTGGACACACACAGGACCCAGAGATCCACCCCAGCTTAACATTCCCGGGAAGCTCAGAGCTCAGATCCGCAAGAAGGCGGCCCTGTGGACACTACTCTCGCGGGTGAGCTGGGAGCCATGGAGTGGCAAGGGGGTGGCCATCCTGCCTGCCTCCGTGGCACAGCCAGGTCTTGTGTGCCCAGATGGCCACACCCAAAGTCCTTTCTCCATACCTTACACCTCCTCCATGGGCACACAGACAGGTCATCAGTCTGGACAGGATGCAGCCCAGAACTTTCCCATTGACTCACACACCCATTCAAGAAGTGAGTAGTAACACAAATAACAGCTGCCATTTTTGAGGACTTACTACATGTCAGGCGCTGTTCTGAGCTCTTTTACAAGAACACTGTCGCTAGCCATGGCCAAGCCCTGCCAGCTGGAGATGGGTATGCCCCTTTGTGGGTCAGAGAGGTGAGAGGCTTGCCCAAGCTCACAGTTCAACCTCGAGTTGGCCGGGTTGCAAGCCCCCTGAAGTTAGCCCGGGAGGCTTCCCTACCACCCTCCACCACCAAAGGGCTGGCACTTCCCCATGCCAGGCCAGGCAGTGAGGGCATCAGAGGATCCCCGACGCAGAGATGGGGGAGCAGATCGGCCAACAAAATAACAGGGAAAGTGTTCTCAGGAAGGGCAGAGAAAACGGGTGACATTTTGAGGCTGGTGAGACTGTGGAGGGACCGCAGGGCTTACCGAAGCAGAGGAAGGGAACATGTTCTAAGTGCAGAGAGGAAAGGCAGACAAGCAGGGGGTGGGGATGTCATGGCGCTCACTCTGGTGACCGGTGGGGGAGCAAAGCTGGGAGGCACACTAGAGTCAAAGGGCACAGGACCCACAGCCAGGGAGACAGGGGGAGGCAGGAGCTGGCCTCAAAGCAGTGTGACTGCCCATTTGCCCAAAGCTTGGGCTGGGTGCTGGGGTGCTTGCCTGGCACAACTTGTCTGCCCAACCGCTGGCATCTGCCCTGGCTCAAGGTCTTCTGGAGAAAATGAGTCAGCACGGCGCTCACTGGGGCTGTGTGCGTGTGTTGCGGTGGGGGTGGGGGAATCTCAACCAGCCAGCTTTTTCCAGGACTTGGGGAAGAAGGGGGGGGGGCATCATCCCCCTGATTCCAGCTCAGAGGGGCGGGGCATGGTGGGCCGGGGCGGGGCTACAGCCCTGACCAGCCTCCTGGGAGAGCCCTTTGGGTCCTGCAGCATGGAAAGACAGCTAGCCCTGTGTTTGAGCCCCAGGCCACAGGGCCCAGGGCTGCTCCCAGCCTCGCTCACTCCCACACACACCCACACGAAGCGACTCGCCCTTGCACACCCTCGCTCTCTCCAAAAACTTCTGCACAAGCTGGGAATCCCAGCCCCTGGGTGCCAGCTGTGCTCAGCCCCGCCTCGGAGATTCCCTGCCCTCCTCTGGCCTCGGTCCCCATCTGTACAAGAGGCTGGATTTGGTGATCTTCCAGGGCCCTTTCTGCTCTGACACGCCGGCTCTCACTTTCTCTCTAGCACTCGGGAGAAGGACAGGAACTAAGTGCTCCCCCGAGAAGCTGAGAAACAGACACCCAGACACACACACACACACACACACACACACACACCCTTCCAGAAACGCCGGGACGTGCAGAGCCACACAGACACTGAGTCGCGAGCAGAGCCCCCGGACCGGGAGACGGAGAAACGTGTCCACAGCCTCACAAGAACCGATGGAACCAGAGACGTACGGACTGGGACCTGCAGACACCGAGCCACTGGAACACACCGAGACCGCCCCGAACAGAGATCCTCTCCTCCCCCAAGTGTCCCCAAAGTTCCCACTCTGCAGGTCTCCTGCCCGACGCTCCCCGCACCACCACCCGCCCCCGGTTGGCTCCACACCGACCCTCCGGGCAGGTCCCCGCCCCATAGGGACCCGGCAGCAGAGCCCGGCGCTGCAGGGCAGGCAGTGCTCGCCAACCCTCGCCCGGCTGGGAGAGCAGCCCCTGTTAACCCCTGGAGTCCCGCCTCGCGGAGAAGCAGGAAGGGACAGGAAGCTGACGTTCCGCTGGAAGCGTCCGGCGCGGCGGGGAACCCCAGCCCTTTCCAGATCCCAGCAGCAGGAAGCTGGGGAGGGGGCGTCCCCGAGCTCGTACTCACCCCCCGCGTGCCGCCGCCACCGCTGTGCCTTGGGCCCCCAGCGCGGATCCCGCTCCCATGGCAGGCCCCTACTTCATGCTCCCGAGCCCGGGGGGCAAGTGTGGGCGCGCCCCATGGGGCCGCCAGCCCCCGGCCCCGCCGCGCCAGGCCGGCTCAGAGCGCGCGGCCCCCGCGCCCCCAGCGCAGCCCCGCGCCCAGGGGCGCTCCAGCAGGCGGGCAGCGCGGCCGGGGCCCCGCGGGCGCCCGCGCCAGGCCCATGGTCCCAGGAGTCCGGGCGCAGCGCTCGCCCCTGCCTCGCTCTTTTTCTGCTTCCACGGAAAAGGAAGAAGCAAGAAAAAGAGGGAGATGATCAAACTTTTGGAGGCGGGCTGCTGGCGGTCTCTGGAGGCAGAGCAAGGCCGGGCGAGGGCGCGCGGAGGGCGGTGGAAGCTGCCTCCCCGCCGGCCTGGGGGAGGAGAGGAAAAGGAAGGATTTGGGGGAAATGAAGGCGATTTAAAGTCTCGGCCCGCGGCAGCTCTCCACCTTCCCCCTCCCCGCGCCGGGCCGCCCTCTGCTGCCCCCTGCTGCCCCCTGCCGGCCGCGGCCAGGGACACAGCCTCAGCCGGCCCGCCACGGCCCCGCTGGGACACCAGCCCCCTCCTCCTTGTAAAGATGGGGAAACAGATTCACCGAAACAAGGGATCGCCCAAGGCTGCACAATGATTGACGGCAGTACCTGGATTAGGAATTTCTGACCTGTGAGACTGTAGGTCCTCAAATCTACGGGGCGGTTTGGAGGAAGAAAGGGGATAGATTCTACTCCTGAAAGAATCTCAGAGTTTCAAGGACAGAACTGGGAACAGGACTTGGAGTACAGACTCCCACAACAACCAGTGTTTTCACCCCCCGACACCCACCAAAAAGATTGCTTCACCAGATTCTGAGCTCCCGGGAGAAAGAACGTGGTGGGTGGGCGTGTTTGTGTTTGCTCACCCTCCTCTCCCCTGCAGCTCGGTCAGAAACGGGGATTTAACCCCCCAGAGTGGAGCAGACACCCTGGGATCCCACACTGGAGCGCAGAGTTGCACGCCTTTGCCCGCCGCCGGTAGATTCTCACATCCCCAACCCCAGGCCAGCAATGAGACTAATCCCCACCCCCACCTCCATCTCTTTGGGCAGACGAAAACACACACACACACACACACACACACACCCCAAATTCAGATACACGCTCACACTCATTCACATGCAGGTATGCAGCCATGCAACTTAGGCTCACGTAAAAAACACCCTGGGATGTCTGGATTCAGCGCACACTCGTTCACAGGAGTGTTTGCACTCACTTAAATACACCCTGTGCTGTCCATATCCTCCTCAACGTACACATCAGCGCGCACACCGCACATACACACTCCCACGTGCACATACAGCCCATGTACCCAACCAAATGCACACACATACACGCACGCACACCCCTCCACAAGTGTCCACCACACTCATGCACACACACACACACACTCACGTCTCAGGCTTGTACCCACCTCTGCACACGCGCGCACCTATACGCACATACACCAATACTCCTAGAGCTACAGGAGTCCCCAGGCACTTACTGTGTCCCTAAGTGGGAGGCTGGCCGGTCGGTCCTTCCACGGGCGCCTAACGGCATTTGTATTCATGGGTCCCCGCAGCCCCGAGCTCGGGCGCGGGGGCGGGGGTGGGTGGTCCCCTTCCCTAAACGGGGCGCGGGCGCGCGGAGCGCAGCGGCACCGGGAGGGGCATGGGCGCGCGGGACTGCGCCGCCTGCCCGGTCCGCCTGCGCTCGAACTTGAGCCGCTCTGCGTCCTCGGGCTCCGGCGCGAGCTCCGGGAACTGGGGGCGGCTCATAGGTGCTGAGGCCGCGGCGCTCGCCGGGCCTTTTGAAGTCTCCGCTGGGGGCGGGGAGGGGGCGCTGAAGGCGGCCTTTTAAACCGTGGCTGCACGCGGGCTCGGTGGAGCAAGGTGTCTGGTTTCAACAAACTTTAGGAAAAGTCCCAAACCGGAGCGGGGGAGGGAGCCGCAGGACTGTGTGCTGCTTCCTGAAGGGGGCAGAGCACCCATGGTTGCCAGGAGGGAGGCAGCCTGGGTACCCAAGAACCCGCAGGCGGCTGGATGGCGCGCGCAGCTACCACCACCGCCCCGCGCCCCTACATTGAACCTGAGTTCTTAACCTCAGGGTAGAGGAACCCTAGAGGGTGCAACTGTGCACCAATTGTGCACACTCGCGCATTCTTCTGGAGAGAGGCGCCACGGGTTTACCTCGGGTTTTCAGAAGTCCGCAGCCCCTGAAGGTTGAGCACTCCGTCCACTCATAACTGGTATTTTTTGAGCTGCATACTTTGTGCCAGGCACATCGTGTCTTTGTTTACATTTTTGGTATTTTGTTCATAGTGGATTTTTTTTTGCATTAATTTTGATACTGTGGAAGAACTGCATTAAATATTATGTATCTTGATTATTTGGGGGGGCTTTTGATACCCCGTTAGATATTGATCTCCATGATAGAATTATATCTGTGTGTGCTCCCTAGTATTTTGCATCTTCACTTGCCTTGGGGTTCAGGCCCTGTCAGGCGCTGTACTGAGCACCACTTTCTGAGGAAGACCTGTTACTATGTCTATTTTCAGAAGGGAAAGTGGAATACAGGCTGGTAGGTGATGCGGTGGGATTTGAACCCAGGTAGCCTGACTCCAACCTTCTGCATCTCAGCAGGATACTCCAGGCTTAGCCTTGGAGGAATTCTGAGCAGATCCTTGTCAGCATCTTTAGCTTCATATCCCAGCCCTGAACCCAGTCTCTGCTACCTGCACCAGCTGGGGGGCTTCAAGGCCCGTGTCCCTATTGCTCCTCTCAGGCTCTCTCTCTCTCTCTGCTCCATTTTTGCCTGTTCACAACCTCTTCGTCCTCGTCACCGCACTCTGGTTGGCTGCTCTGCCACCCCACCCATGCCATCGTGCATATAATGGTATTATCATGGTCAGTTCCATCTCTGTGTCCATCCAGCATGGAACTGGGGACACAAGAGATAATCCAACCGCTAGTAATTTAAATTAAGTTCATTTAAAAAAAAAAAACCTCCCACAATATGCAAACCTTATACAAGTCCTCAGGGGAAGAGGGTCTGCCACTATGGGGACAGGGACAAAGAAAATTTCACATGGTTCTGGCTTCTGGGCATGGACACATGTGTAGTGTGGGTAGAAGATATGCACAGCAACTTGGGGTGGGGAGGAGAGCTCTCTGCAGCCACAGGAAGACAAGACAAGGAGATGCCACGGATGTTATCAGAGAGATCTGGGTCAATCAGACTGCCAGACAGACTGAGGAATGGAGAAACACCAAGGAAGGGTCCCAGGAGGAGGTAGCATTGGGGCCCTGAAGGATGTGTGGCAGCCACGGAGGAGGGACACGTCCAGCAGAAGAGTCACAAATCACCAGGAAGGAGGGAGTCGATCTCAGGCAGGTTTTGAAGGCTGAGTGAATGGAGCCCAGAGTCATCCAGCTCTTCCCACCATAATGTGTGGGTGACAACACATGACTCACTGGCCACAGAGCCATTTCCAGGCAAGGGGATGCATTTCCTCAAAAGTCAGGCAGCAGGTCACTGGCTGAACGCCAAGTCCTTTCCAAATCTCACCCCCAGATCTGGGTGTGCAGTGAATGGTCAATGGCAGGGAGCCCTGCACCGCAGAGGACAGCCCCAAGGCCCTGTGGGAAACTCTTAAGAGCCTCACTCTCCCCATCGGTGAAATAGGTGCCTTGGCATGGCACTCTGCAAGGGCCTTTTGTGCTCGGAAATATGAGACTGTAACTCAACAACAAATCCCACCGAGACGGCGGACACCCCGGGCTCGCTGCATTTTGCCAGGTGGGGACGAGTATGAGGCTGGTGGCTTTCCAAGAGCTCAGGGTCAGCTGGAAAGAGGACATGGATGCTCATAAGAACTCAGGGAAGGGCCCTGCTTCCTGCTCCTGCTGCCTCCTTACACCCAGCCCTTCACCACGGAGGGCCCTGGCGCAGAGATAGTGCCCCCCGTGGAGGGGTCAGGGCACCCACAAGCCAGCCCTCAGGGGGCCATCGCTGTGGGGCAGAAGGCAGTAAGCCTGGAGGCCAGGTGGACAGTGAACGCCAGGCCCACATGGGCATTTTCAGGATTGCAGCAGACAGATGGGAATCGTGGCTGATGGGGACTTCGGGGACCACATAGTGATGGACACGTAGTAGGTGCTCAGTGACTGCTGCTGAGCGAACCACTAGAAGAAGTCTTCACAGGTGTCAGGGGCTGCACTGTGGCCAAGGACCCATCACATCAGTTCATCCACCAAGCTTTTTCTGATGACCTACTGTGCGCGGGCAGTGCTTCCTGCCTTCCTGCCCTTGATGTGTTACGTCCTGGGGAAAGAGGCCAGTGAGAGGGAAAGAGAGAGAGAGAGAGGGAGAGAGAGAGAGAGGGAGAGAAAGAGAGAGAGAGAGAGAAGCAGGGAAGAAAGTCCTGCCTTGAATCACGCTTAACAAGTTCTACAGAACCAGGCGGAAAACTTGCTAGTTCCCACTTATCTTCCCAGGCCTGGGCGCTGCTGGACACACAGGAGGGACCCTGCTTTTGCATTTGGCCCCACCCAGCATGTAGCATGGGAGGTGCACCCAGTATACCTCTAATAAGAGTCGTTATTCCCAGGTCACTCAACCCATAGGGCAATGCTGCCCTGCACGGTGCCCTGAGATGGGCACTGGCCACCGGCTAATCAAGCAGTGGTCCTGGAGGGGAGAAGTGCCATGTTTCGTCTCTGACACCAGCACAGACACCATGTCTGGCACCTAGGAAGGGCTCCACGGATGCAGAATGAACAGGAATAAAGGGATCAAAGCGAAGCTCACCTGGTTAGACCACTCCAGCTCCTCCCGCCACCCCCACCCTCCTACAGGATGACAGACCCAGTTTTAGGTGCTACGGCTGTCCAGGTGAGCGTAACACAAAGTGTCCATCTTCACGGAGGGACACAAAACACCCGGCAGTCTACTGGCGATGTCAGGTTGCAGGGAGCATTCTAAAAGCCAGTAAGCTGACAGTGGGTGGGAGACCAACGGTGGGACTGTCACTAATGGAGACCAAGGTGAAGCTTCTCCGAGGAGCTATTGTTTGAGCTGCAACCTGGAAGAAGTGAGGGGCTGAGCCATGTCAGTAAAGAACCAGGCCAGTGACAGGGGCAAAGAAGGCAGGATGCCCACTGGCTCCTCCTCCCTGTCGATTCTTGTCTACTTGTATGCCACACGTTCCCTGGGGGCAGCCCAGTTCCACCCCTCACTGCTGCATTCCCCAAACCTAGAATAAAACATTTCAGGAAAATGAGTGAGCGCCTGTGGATGGGCCGAACAGGCCATTAGTGTTGAGCTCTGGGCCACCTCCAGCGGGTGACAGCGGAG